ACTGGTAACAAAGCATTCGTCTTTCCCATCCCAGTAGATGCAGCTGATGCAGATGCTATTGGGAGCACGATCTTCAGGCGCCACAGGCTTGAAATCTGCGTGGATAGTACTGCCGCTTTGCATCCGTGTGAATTGGACCAACCGACGCTTCGCCTCCCGCTCTTCTCTGGACCAGCTTTCCGTCATTGAATCAAGATCACCACTCAACTTCAACACTGCCTTGGTCGGGCACATGGCATAGGGGTTGAACGACTGCGTTTGGCCATATGCGCCCGACTGCTGCAACGTGGACGTTCGAATGAGCGTTGGATTCCCGAACCTGCTTGGGGATGCTTGGTTTTGCTGACGCAGAGGATGGCCGATGGTATAAGTAGTGCTTCGGGCATCGTTGCTGACAGCAAGGAAGGACGGGCTGTATGATGGAGTCATAGGCGACGGCGCCCGGATAGAGGCTTGAGATGCGGTAGATAGGCCGGGATACTGCGTCGAAGGAACTCTCGGCGATGCCGCCGTATGATGTGGGCTGACGAAACTATTCACTGCGGGCAAAGACTGCAGGTACGGCGGATAGGTCGCCGAGGATACGCTGGATGGTTCCTTTGCATGCATTGGTGGGCCGGTGATTCGTTTGGGTGCCCTCGACAGAGGTTCATCCGCGTATGAAGGCACCCTCCGCTTGCGGGACTCATCTGAAGGCGACTGCATCGAGGCATGTTCATAGGTATAAACACCCACTTGTAGCGTGACTGCATGGCAGTCGTTGTGATCCATGGACACTTGCAAGGGAACTGCGAACGATGGAGAGCCCGTGGAGCTGAAAGGGGGCGTGTCGACGGAAAGCGCATACTGGAATGAAGCACCCTGGAAGCCGAGGAAGTGGGGGACGCATTCACATTTCTTCGAGCCGAAGACAAGGTAAAGAGTCGCATAGGAGGATGTATGGAGATCATAGGGCGATTGAATCTGGACGAAGACTCTGGTACCTTCGGATCCTCTTTGGGGGGAATAAGAGACAACTTCCGGCATCTGGCGGTTCTCGGCGGCCAGCATTGGTGAACGAGCCTCTTCGTAGGAGCTCGCATACTCTCCGTTCGCCATGTAAGGCACACAGTCCGATATCTGGCTTGCGTGATCGGGCATGGGGGAAGGAACCAGCGGCGTGGCCGTCACATAGGGTGTCTGGCCATAGCCTTGGTAAGGAATACCATCATGCAAAGATCGAGCAGAGTCGTAGTCTATTCAGGTAAAGTTGAGCGTCAGCGTCTCACAGAGTTCAAACGGAGTGCGTTTTCCCTAGGGACCCCTGGCCCAGCCATGCCATGTGCACGAGGAAGGGGGAGGGGGGAGGGGGTGTATCAGTGCTTACCGATCAACGCCGCGTGCGGGGGCTTCTGGAAAGTAGACATAGACAAGATGGGCTCAGACTTGGCCAGAAGGCCGTCTGAAAAAGCACCGAGAAACTGTGACTCTTCAGGATCCGAAAAATCCAACGACTCGTCTAGAATTAACGGTGTTTGTAACTCGGAATTGAACTGTAAAACGCCCCCGGGTCAGTTCAGTGTTCGGCGGGTGAGAAGGTGGGTGTGACTGCAGGAAAAACAAGGCTGGGGCACTCGGCGAGACAGTGATGAATCAGATATTCTGATCCAGTCGAAAAACAAAATGGAATGGGAAGGGACCAAAAAGCAACAATTGGGCAGCGAGCAGGAAGACCCGGACTCACCAAAACACCGTGCGTCTTCGAGTAAGCCAGTTTGAAGGTGTTGCAGAAACTGCAACGAAGCACAACAGCTTAAAAAAAGCGAATGACAGCGAATTTATCCTGGAAAACGATAGGATGTCGGAAAGTTACTAGCGAGCTCTCCGAGACAAAACGAATGACGACACGAAGTGGCTGTCAGCCCGGACGAGGAAGATGCCACGAAAAGCTTCGAATCAGCGATCAGGATCCAACGCCTCAGGGTGAAACCACGAAAGGTTGGCTGCAGGATAGAGACCAGAGGTGAGCCACACTGTCGATGAATGCTTCTGACAACCTATAGGAAACCAGCTTCCATCTGAAGGCGCTGTTTTAACCTCACGCGGCGGATAGGTTGGATGGCAGATATCCGTAACAGGCACTGGATAAGAGCGAGCGAGAAGAGCCGGTCGAAGTGAGAAGAAGACCTTTTCGCTTTTCTGGCGTTCCTGGAAGCGAAATTGTCTCAAGTTTCCCTCAGGATGATGAGGACTAGGTCGGGGCACGAACTACTCAACTAGTGAGTAAGAACCCTCCCAAAAGGCGAGGAACCGGCTCGCTGCATAGACCAGCAAGACTTACCAGGTGAGATGAGAAGACAAGAGATGCGTCTCTGAGGTCTTTTGAAATCTAATATGCAAAAAAGGTCACGGTCCCTAAGCGACTAAACGAGGTAGTCTACACCTTGACGGGGGCGGGTTAACAACAAACATCCGGAAGTTTAGTGACGGAAACCATACAAGGGGAGGTGACAAGCGCACGGAACCCATCGTGGACCCTAATTTTCCTTGGGATCTTGTGCGGCAAAGGCACGACCTTGGAGAAGCAAGGAGTACAGAGGGAAGGGGACACGAAGGAGAGTGATGCAAGGCACCAACAGAGTCTGTGGCAAAGGGCGAGGGAGGGGGGGGTTGGCACCAACCTTAACAGACCAATGACTTCAGCACAGGGAGAGGCTTCGTCAGTAAACGCAGCCTATTTGAGATATTTCCCTGCTAGTTCGTAATAAGGTGGTGTCCTCAGCCGAGACAAAGATCCACGATGGTTTGAGTCCAGGTCCGACCTCGTGTGAAGGACTACAGAGAGACAAGGTTGGCAAGATGGCTAGCTGACGATCCACTCTCGTTTTCTGTTCGGGAGAGTGTAAAATTGAGACAGATGAGCGAATCCGGACACTGCAAATAAAGGTGATTTTGCTGAAACGAGGAGGGTTGTTGGACGTGACAAAAGACGGTGGTTCGATGATCGTCCTTGGGGGTACCTTCCGCTCAACAAACGGAGATCGCTCTATAGATCCGGCGTATAAGGGACCAGGCAAACGAACAGCTGGGTAGGAGACCACACGACACGGAAAGAAGATGGCGTCCAGTCAATCAGCGGCTTTCCCGTGGATTTTCGGTTGCTTCGGAAATATTAAAGACACTATTGTCGAAAATAAAATAAGAAAAAGATCCTCCCCCCTTCTGGTCGGATGGAGACGGAGCCAAGCTTCGAGGCAATTAAACAGAGAATATAGCGACGGGTGTCGAACAATCAGCGAGCGCGTAAAGTCCGTGAGGATTGAATAATAGGATATTCAATAAGTCCGATCAGTTCCCAATTTGGCTTGCCAATAAATGCTTCTCTCCTTCGTTAATATTTTTTTTTCTCAATTCGGTCCTTCTCTTAATTCTTTTCCTTCTTCGTTGATCAACACAAACGTAGCGAACGTAATGATACTTCCGATACCAAACAAAGCGAGTGTAAGGCGAACGTGGGACGAGCGAGTGGAAGTGTAAATAAGAAAAAAGAGAAATACAAGGGATACCTTCACTGTGCCATCACAGAAAAAGTGAAAGGGGAAAAGGTGGGGAGGGGAGGAGGAGGAGGAGGGGGGGAGAAGAAGAGAAGTAGTAGGAGGCGGAGGAGCAGTAGTAGTGGAGGGAATAAAAAAAGAACAAGAGTGACCGTCAAGTACGAGATGACGAGAGATATATTACTTTTCCCTTCCAAAGCAATCCGCTTTGAGCCGAGGATGCGGTGGTAAGAAACGAAAGAGCACTGGGCGACAATAGCCTTAGTGTGGCGGGGATGCGCTGGTGGGAGGATGGGAAGGGAAAATAGTTAGATAAGTAGTAAGTAGTAGGGATCAGGTTTGCAGGACCGGGGGTATTGTTTGGAAAACAATTCACTTTGATCCCTCGAGGTTAATGGATCCCGGAATGATATAAATAAATGACGATTGATAATAATAATAAGGATGGATAAGGATAATAATAATAATAATCTTTCTCTTGAAGGAACTCGGTCACCGAGGAAGATCAAACGGCGTCTTTTCCTCTTTCTCGCGTGAGTGTGTGTTGTTATAATTATACCTGAGGTTGTTTGGGGAATCATAACACCCTGAAATCTGAAGACAGACCAAAATGGCTGGTTGGCCTAAATGGATCTTTTTTTTTCTCCATCGTAAAAGTCCCTGGGCTGGTGGTGGTCCTCCACATCTCTACCGCTAGACTACCAGTCCCATGGAGACCTTAGTACCGTCCCATAACCCTCTGAGATGGTTTTCTTTTACGAACCTTCTCCGATCCTCCTTTGACCAGGAACCACTCAGCATCGGATCGGGTCACGGGGAAAGCTTCAAGGAAGGAAGGATGGGAAGGCCGTAAGAAGACAATCCCCGCTCTTCAAGGGTAGGAAAATTAAAAATGGAAAAATTCTAAAATTCTCTTCTTTTGAGGGAGACCCTTCACTAGTATTTTCCCTTTTTTTTATTTTTCTCGTCTTTATTTTGTAATTTTTTTTTTCAATATTATTTTTTTTTTACTCTCTCCTATCCTCTCTCTTTGCTAGGAAAAGCGGCCCTTCACTTAGAGGGGAAATCCTAAGTGGAGAGAGTAGGGAAGTGCTTAGTCCAGATAGGTTTAGTTAGCTTCAGGGCTAAAAGTCATGAAGCCCAAGAAACGTTATGATTATTTTTATTCTCGGCATAGGTGATTCTTATTTGGTGAGAGGAATCCCACCATTGGGTATTGGGTGAATAATCATCCAACTTTCCCCCCAAATAAATCCAGGGAAAAGGCGCTAATCTGGCTAGCAAGGGTGTTAGCAAAGAATAGCAGCAGGCACCGTTCAAGCGGTCCATGCCGCCTTGACCGGTGGATCCACCCCCAAGGGAAAAATGATCAGGGCTGCAGAAGCCAGTGGAAGGAGGAGGAGGAGAGAGAGAGAGAGAGGAGGAGGGGGGGTGGGAAAAGGCAAAAAAGAGAACTGGTTTCTGGTTACGGTTATTTTTACCTCCGTAGTAACTTCGGTTCTACTGGAGATACCTCCGGCCCTATGGGATTCAGATTGGTAACAGATGTTCTCCATCTTCTCTACAAAGTATGACCTGCGGCGACTGTACCATGCTTTTCCAGTCATTGTCCATTCTTTCTGAGATCCTCGTTGGTGGGGGAAGGGGGCGATGTTCACTTTTTTCCGGTCTTTCCTTGGCCTTTCGGGAGAGGCCCTGATACACTGGTTGATACGGGACCTAAGAATAATACTGGATCCCCCCGAGCAGCCACCCAGCCTACCATCATAACTTGTTCCGCAGAAAGTTTGGGCTAAACAACCTCGTACATCTGGCAGGATGAGCTGCCCTGTCACTGACCTCTGCATCTAGTAAAAGGGTCAATTTAGATGGTGGTTAGTTCTGTGCTAACTCAGTAACTAACATATTGTACCAGCAGTAGCAAACTTTAACCGTCACGGTCATGTCCTCGTTGTTCTTGCCGTTTTCTGCGTTGTTTCCATATTGCTTTGCCCCGTCTCATGCATCACTCGACGTCTCGTTCTCATGACTACTCTCACTACTAGTACTGTTTAGTAGTCCCTCCTATGACATGGTTCTCGATGTCTAGTTTCTCTAGGCCTACCATAGATAATTGTTGCAGTTTGAGACTTAGGCCAACCGGATTACCTTCTCGAAAGAGTAGATAACCGGAATCAAAGGATACTACTACTAGAGAGCAACTCCCACTGAGAGTCCTTCCAATCAAATTTGGAAATAACCGACCTAGAAGAAGGACCCTTCGTGATCCGCGGAGGCCAGCGGTAGAGATAATAGTAGTACCGAATTCTCTACGGTCCAAGCTGTCTACCGAGGTAAGCAAATCAATTGAGTAAAGAGTGAAAATGATTCGAGGGGAGGAAGCAAAGAGGAATCGGAGCGATCGTGAGTTCGTGACATATTATTAGCTCTCACAAGGTCCCCCACCCCTGCCCCCTTTCCCAAACAGGAAGTAATGTTGAGCGCTTCGCTGCCAACTCAAGGAACCTTTGCCCGATTTGGAATTTTCTTAATTTGGAGCCCTCAGGCAGCAGTGACCCGCCGAACGAAGACCGTTTTAGTTTATTGGCTGCCCCCTCCATCAATATCCCGTTTGGGAATGCTCCGTTCTGGGTCTGGAGATAAAGCCTGATTCAGCCTCGCAGTTCCAGTGATCGGGTCCAAGTTCTGACCGATGTTCCGAAAATTACTGTGTACTAGTCTATCTTCCGTATGTCAGTACCTCCGTACTGTGTTGAGTATCAAAGTTATGTCCTAATGTCCTAAGTTCCTAACTAACTTCACAAGACATACTACGACTATCTCGTATCTACTATCTATCTCTCTTATGCGAGTTAGACCTGCATAGCAAACTTGGTGCTCAATCTTGCTCTTCATCGGTGGCCCCGGGAACAAGCCTTCCTCCCTTCTACTTTCCCCGCCCACGGCTTGGCGTCTATCCTCAGTAGACTTCCGGCTGTTCAGTACTTTGTAGTGAAACTAAGTAGCCAGTACTTGGTAGACTCAGTATGTTCATAGTGATCTCGTTGGGTAATTCCACACGCCGCCATCATCTCATGACACCAAGGCCCAAACATCACAGACTCTCTCGCATGGTTCGCCAAGGTTTTCTGGAAAAGTTTATTGCTGATTCGTCTACGGAGTGCCGTGGTGTGTCTTTCCCACATGTTTGATCAGTCGGGGAAGAAAGAGCAGGAGTCATGAGAAATGGGGTCAGGCCAACTGCGAGCCCGCCCGAGCGTGCAGGAAACACTTCCAGAGCCAGTCAGAGTCAACGATTCCGTTGTTCCGTGCCTTCCTCCCATCATCACTCCACATTGTGGCAGCGCAGCGGCTGACCTTTTGGGATCAACTATGCTTAGTTTGGTCTACCGAGATCATCCACTTTCAACGGCCTTTGTGTGTCCATGGATTCCCAGCCTTCTATCTTTTGTTCTCGTTGATAAGCAAGGCGGACAATTTGCCTTTCCAAAGATTATTTGGCCACTCGGTTGAAGCGGTTAGCGATCAAGCAAGGTGTGAGTTAAATGTACAGCAAGGTACATGCACAGCAGATAGCACTCTCTTTGCACTCTTGTCGACAGCCAGTGGGATCGTGGAATCCTCGAACACGGCCGTGCAGCCAACACCACCATGATCACACACTACAAAGTAGCTATCTAGCGGCCGATCAACCTGAGGGAAGCGGTACTTTGAGATGCTAAACATAGCAGGCCTTGCATTGGCTTCCAGTGGAAGTCATGCAAGGGCCGGACATGGCCGTCTCATTGGCGCCAGAAGAGGGCGGTGTGGAGCCCCTCCCCTCCACTGCCACTCGATTTCACTTTCCTTTTGGTTTAGCGCATAAGAGAAAAGAGAAAAAGGAAGTAAAAAAAGGTTCCGCTTCTTCCTCCTAAATCCTCCGTCTAAAATAATGTCGGCACTTGATTCGCCCACAATTAAGTCCGGTGAGTGGCACGATGGGAAGCACCGAAAGGCTATTCCCCTGAGAGGAGGTGGTGGTGGTAAGGTAGCAGCATGGTAGTACTACTTACCTTTGCTACCATCTCCACTCGCAGCAGAGCGACCCTGCATTGTCACCACACTGTGAGCCGTCAGTGGACGCTTCTCGCGGCTGAGCTGCTGAGACCTGGCCAACCGCCATGAGCTGATCATCCCGGCCGTCATCGTGGCCTTGGGCGTTCAGCTGGAAACTGCCCATCCTGGTTGCTTGCCCTTTCTCAAGAACAGGGATGGAACTATTGATGTTTAATCAAACCCCGTAGCAACCCCCTCCAACCACGGACCAATGCTTAGGTACAGCTTATTGCTTAGGATCTAATCGTCGTAAGGCCGCCCAGTGTGATCATGCTGACGGTCCCGGACCAAAGATGAGGTCATGGCGGTGTTCCACGGTGGTCAAGTCATCAACGCTACTCAGATCGACGAGAGTCAAGAAGAAACAAGCCCGGGCAAGCTGCGCCCTAGTTTCCCATGAGGTCATGCTGTCCAAAAAGCCGAGCGTCGTCGATCTTACTCTGTTAAGGACGGCACATCGTGGCTCAGTCTCCCTCGGTCCTGTTGCGGAGGTTCTCCGTACTCCGCGTTTGGTAAGAAATAGTCTTCAAACCTAGATGATACTGCTTCAATAGTCTTCAAGGGCTTCGGAACGACTACCAGAACCGATTGACTCCGGAAGATACTGTCACTTGTGTCATTCCGAATTCCGAGTCATGGGCATTGGGCCCTGCGCTACTTGCTCAACTACGGGTGCTATCTAAATGTACCGCATAGTAGTGGTCGTTGTAGGTATGTATATACTACTAATAGCCTAGCATTGTCCGTCACAAACATACTGTCGGTCAGCCATAATTCGGCATAGTTTATATCGTACGATGTGACGACAGCACCTCCAACGCAGGAGTCGCTTCAATCTCAAGAAATTAACCGAAGGCGCCAAATAAAGTTCGTCGTAAAGATCGACCCAAAGGCAAAAATTTGGCGGATCATCGTTCGGAGCACGTTGAGAAGCACGCCCCGTCGCCGTCTTACAGCAACTAGTGTATCCGTACCTACCTTAGTCACCTTGCAATTGTGGGAGAGAAAGATTCTGAGCAGGCATTGAGACTAATTACTGGCTCCTATCCAGATATGCCAAAAGGAAGCTGTGGGCCTCGACAAAGATAGCACGATTAGCCCCATGGAGATAATTCGTTCCCCTAAGCTACATCCAGGGATGATCAGCAGTCCTTGTGCACGATAGTGCATGGCTTGTCCCCTTTTGGGATGGGCGACCGAAGTAGTTTCCTTGAGCTCATGTTCGAGAAGAAAGAGGAAAAGTGGTCTGTAGGACCATGGTTCCATTGCCACGAGGGATGGTTTGTCCCCTCAACTTGACATGCGTTTGCATGGGGTCGAGGTGAGGCAGACAATACTACTACCCCTGTGAATGTCAAACAAGGACATGAGTGCAAACTACTACTCCTACTAATTTTGTCATGGTCTATATGAAAAATATATATCCCAAACACCGGCACATGAGCTATCTATTACTACAAACCTTCTTCAATCAACCCGACGCCAATTCAATTTACAGTGTCTTGCATGTTGACCCCCGAATCTACTCCAGCATTTCTACGAAGCGCTCCGAATGGGTACTTTGTACTTTGTACGAACTGCCTTACACGTCGGAGGGAGGCCCGGCATTCCTTGAATGGTTTTCCTACAGGCCCAAAAAGGACACTAGGACAGAGGTCGGCCAATGCTCGGGGAAACCCGACCGCCCGACCGAGTGACCGACCAAAGTTTCAACAACAAGCGGACGGACCACAACCTCAAGGGACAAAACAAATTGGCTACTGCCTAGGAAGGATGGCAGAGTTTCTGCCCTTCATCGTTCAAACTTCAGGCTAACCCAGTCGATCAAGGCATGGAAAATCCCGCAGTCCATCATGGCTCTTAGTCCACTGACCATGCCAACCCCGGCTGCGCGCTAGCCGTCCTTTAGTCTGCATGGAATTCGGCCGGTGTAGTGAGTTGTGCCGTTGATGGGCAGCAGGAACCGACGGGTAGACTAGATATTACATGTGTGCTAAGACAAAGGATTCTCTCTTGTTGTGCGAGGAGTATGATCGTCACCTCTTTGCATCCGAGATTCGTTTCAAGATTGTGAAGAATGTGGAAGCCCCGGGCTGGGCAACGCCTATCTACACCGGCGGCGTCCTCCGCCTAAGGATTATCATTAACAATCATTATTCAGTCACGGTTCATTATTGAGCCCTGGACTCCGGAAATCATTCAATTGGCGAATCCACCACCACCGGAACATCACCGGGGTCGACCGGAGAAATCCTACGAAGCTCCACTTTCCCCCATCGACTCACGCCTAGTGCGAGCCAGTCAATCCTAGCGGCTCCGAACCTCAACCCAAGGAACCAACCAGCGGCCGGTCAACAAGGAGGTGAATCTTCCGGAAGCATGATGGAAGTGGAACGGTTAGCAGCGACGGACCCATGGGTCCCAGCGCGTGGAAATCTGCTCTCTACCGAGGAAGCGTGTTTGTCGTACCTAACATCGTATTTCGGATCCGGAACGTCGTCCCTCTGTGGGATGGGATAAATTTTAGACCAGCTAGTATATACGGTTCTGCGGTGATCATTGATCATACGATGGCGCCGTAATGATGCTCGTTGTCTCGAGCAAAGAAAGGAAGGTGGTATCGACCATTGTGATCAAGTGAAGTTGCATCTGTCACAATTTAGCAGCACCCCAGTCCCCAAGCAGCCGAAGCACAAGAACCGCAATTAAGCATTCAGGGTCTTTTAATTGCGGTGGGCAGGTAACCCCGGCTCGGCGTGTCAGCTAAAGTGATGAATAGCTGGAAGGCGTCCAATTCCCGGCCGGCTCTTGGCATCCACCGGGCACCACGACAAATGGCAGTCTACGCTTTCTCAGAGCAGTCAAATTAAACGTGCTCTAGCTGATTCTAGTCGCGCCTTAGTTGTCCCTGATATATGTTATGCTGCCAATCTAACGGCCAGCATGCCGTCATTGGTACTTCTCGAGTGGATGATGCTCCATCCATAGCACACCACTGTCATCACAGGATCTCAAGACCCCAGTACGGAGCCCCAAAGGAACACTCACACACACACACGACCTGCCACCCTCTCACGAGGCACCAAGCAAAGACGCATGGAGTTTAAATTTTCATCTGCAAGAGACAGCCTTGGATTGGATCGTCCTTGCATCCTCCCGTCTAGTCTAAACCTTGGTTTCCTGTGTGTCGATAATCAATCTACCCGGGAAATCATGACTTGACGTAGACCGGTCCAGGTACACCAGTCGAGAGTTTACAACCCTTACTTGGACATGGCTATCAACCATCCGCCCATCGCCCCTTGATACAGATAATCAAAAAAGAAAGGAAAATAAAAAACCTCACATTGATGCTAGGGTTATCACACAAACCCTGATATCGGAAATTAAAATGCGCCAGTAAGTACTTCATTGAATGCTGGCATACCCACCAGAACCACCCGGATCATTTCTTTCATCCGACTTCATTTCAAGCTGCACGGGATACGCCATATGGGAGGTTAGGAGCAGCAGACAGGAAGAAAGGTAGCACAGAACGAGGGACGTCAAAATTTGCATGCAATAACAGGTCTTAGACTATTCGCGCCGTGCATACACAGCAAGTAGGTAGAGTACGGCCCACCCAGAGCGGACGGACAGATAGACGGTAAGAAGGTTTTTTTTCTGATCGGCACGTTTTGGTTGGGGACGAGCGGGATGTTGATCATGGTGGCTGGTTATGGTTATCTACACAAAGACAAACACAGCAAACTGAATACCAGTACGGAGTACAACGTAGTAACTAGATATATCTAATTTTAATATTGCTTTGATTTATTTTACTTTATATTTTCCCACTTGTTTCACCTGTCTTATTTCTTTATCCGCAAGTTTACGAAGTAGTGCACTAGCTAAGCAATTAGACAAGTAAATCAGGCAGGGAGGAGACCATTTCCCTTAGTAGTCAAGTCTCTACCCATCTAGATAGATACTTACTAGTCAGTTCACTTGTCACCTTACTTGACTTTCCAGCTAGTCAATCAGTTAGCAAGGATTGGCTTGGCCTGTTTGTCTGTTTCTCCTCAGCCAGCCGCACTTTTATCTTCCCTCCATGATCCATCCAAATCCAGCCAAGATAGTCATTAAGCTAGTTATAGTATAGTAGCGCGGTAGTTGTCTCATCCAAAATAAAAAATGAAAAATAAAAATTAGAACTAACTAAAAACCAAGCAAATATTACCCAAGAGTTTAAGACTTAGATAGTGAGGAGTAAAAGAAATGCCGACCCAAGCCCCCACAACAAACACAACTAAACAAAACCGCCCGCCCGTCAATCCATTTCCCATCCAGGCGCAACCCGAACCCTAATTGCAAACCGTAGTATGTCTCACCTGTAGTCAGGTCAGGCTCACTCTAGTTGGCTGGTTGGGTTGGGTGTCGGTCTGCGTTAGTTTTTTTTTATTTTATTTTTGCCCGGTTATTTTTATTTCTCACTTAGTTGGTTTTTTTGGGTCGACTTTTTTTCTTACTTCAATTCTTGTTTAGTTTGTTGAGGCTTCTTTCTTGATGCTAAATTAAGCATGTGCTATTATAGTCAGTCGGTACCGAAGTAACTAACTACTAAGTGAGTAGACTGCTTTTACGGGTTTTGGCGGGGTTTGGAGAGTTACTATGTATGAGTATTCTGCTAATTGCTGCTATTGCTGCTGGGTATCCAGTGTGAGATTTTACTATTGCTAGACAAGTATTCCCTGGTTAGTAACTTCGGTTGGGTATAATTATGGACAATAACATCACATCATATCACATGTGATTTTACTATCCAATTACCCATCCCAGCTTCAAACCAATAAGCCACACATCTAATCATCCTATTATCTCCCATCTATACCATCTATCAATCAAGCTATCTACTATGCTCGTTATTCTTCACGACCTATGCATAAGCTCCCTAACCAAGCAAGTACAGCCGTTGCCCCATTGTGGCTGTGCACTGCCCTACCAAGCTAACTTCTCCCACATCAACCAGTAAAGACCACCACCAACCATCTATCACAAAGTAAATCAGGGGCTCGTTAAAAAGCGGGATAGATGTGAAACAAGTCAACCTAAAAGTAGCCTGAATAGACCAGACACCAGGACTGGATTTGAATCTTACTCAACTAGGTCAATACCATAGTTATGTGTGGTATGTAGAGAAGAGACCCAAAGCCTCGGGACGAGCAGTGTGGAACTAACTCCATCGTAGATGGACAGAGCGTCAACGGCGTTCTCCGTATATACCCAGTAGTCTCGTGGGAATTGTATAGATGGTCTATAAGGGGTGAGTGATGTGCATGGTTTGCGAGTAAGTAGGGTGGATAGTATGGATATACCTACCGTAGTAAGTTGCTATGTCTGATACCGAGTATATACCAACCAGACCAAACCATGGAAGATACTAAACTTAGTAGTCTATACCATTCAGCAACTATGGTAGATATGTGCTAAGTTAAGAAGAAAAGTGGCGTATGCCTCAGCTTGAAACATCTGCGCCACTTCACTCACCCCGTTATCGGAAGTTACTATTATGTTATGGGATGGGGATGGAGGGATACCGTGCCCGTTATTCCATCGCGCACCGGAGGGGATTCTTACTCCTAGAGGAAGGGCCGACAGGGCTGCTTTGCTAGTAGCGTTGCAAAGTCTCCATCCATGTCTGGGGCTGTTTGTCTGTGTCACACGAGGCTCAGTCGGGACGGATGCGGTGCACGGGCGAGATAGTAGCCATTTAAGTGGTTGGACTTTAGTTGACAGGTTTGGGTTTTAAGGTGGTTAGTAAGGTTTGGATAGGTAAATTTCACTGCCTCGTGGGATTGTACTATGTTTGAGGGTAAATCCTGGGTGGCGTTTGGCTGTACTAGTAGTACTATATCCATCTTCATTGTGGGTTCAGAATACTATATATTATGCTCTGTCGGGGAAATGCAAATGCCGCTTAGTAAACTCAGTCTCAGACCATGAATGAAATCAGTACTATTCAGTTCCCGCTGGGCTATTTTCTGGTACATATTTCTATCTACTTGATTCTAGATCCCTATGTCATATTTTGGTGGTGGTGCTGGTGGCGGCTATTCTGCCCCATAGTGCAGCCTCTATCGTATATAGCCTTTATTATCAGGCTGTATGGTGAGACATGTGATCCATTTGGGAGATTGCTCATTTTCTTCCATCACGAACTTACCATCGAGCTGAACATCTCAACAAAAGTGGGATACATCCCACATACCCAGTTTCGTAAAGCACGCTGCAGCTCATCCATACTCCAGCGTATAACCCCCCCCTTAGACCAGGATCACCAATTCCCATAGACCCATAACTCCCTGTTAGCAGACTAGTACTTAGGTATGTGCACTACAGGCAGTAGGCACGCCCTACCACGAAACTACGCCATAGAGTCAATCATGTTTACCCCCCTATTCACCACCCCACTATCAACTGAACAAATTTCTGGAATTTACTCGGAACCAGAGTGACGACGACTACACCTACAGCACCACCTCTAAGGATTAGCCACCAATCGTGTACCTCTCCATTTCCGACCTGGCACCATCACTAGCGAGTGATGATCACCGAAGGATGGATGGGCATGGGCATGGGGAGATCCAAAGGAGGCCCCGATCCCGTGTCCAATCGACACGATCATCCTGTAGGAAAGGAGGGCGGGGAGGGGAAGAGAAAATCTTGAGAAAAAATCCTAGTCCAGCATCAATGCGCTAGTTCGCACCTGACTGACTCGGTCAGCTGATCCCGGTCATCTTTGCTTTGCTAGTTTTTGCTGGGCTTCTAGTCATCCCCGTCTCAGCCCATCCTTCGACGTCGGTCAGTCAGTCAGTCAGTCAGTGATTTGTGCTCACGCACAAGCGTATAGCCCACAGTCATTCTATCTACTACATGGTCGCCGTTATGAATGGAGGGGAGGAGGGGTCATGCATTGTGACGCAGGTGTGTGTCTTATCAGCCTAATGGTGAGATAGCTGGGGGTCATCCTTAACCCTGTTTCTTCGGATCCGGGAGCTAACAACGTGCAATGGTGGCGCTTTCGCAGTGACATACGGTCTAGTGGACATCGTCCTGGAATTTCCGACGTCGCGCTGCATGGTCGAAGCCTATCCTGCATCCGCACGGCGTACGCAATCCAACCAACCCATAGCCTATGCAGGTCCTCTCCGCTGGTCGAAAATACCAGAAACATGGCCAGTCAGAGTCGCAGCCGGGCCTTTCATGCTGGGACGGCGGATTTACTGGCTTTGAGAACTAGCCAGGGAATGATTGGATTGTCTATGGGTCGTTGCCAGAAATAGGATCGGTAGCAACACCAGATGGTCATCCCGGTTTTGGTAGCATGTCTCACTCAACCCGCTACGGCTGCTGCAAGCCTGTGGGACTTGACCGAGCTTTCATTCGGTGCTATCTACTCGGAGATGACTACCAGAAAGCAAGACAGTCCCTGAAATGAGAAATCTCTTTCGTTCGCCCACGGGAACAATATCAGAATATCTCGGCGCTCTCCTCCACAGACCGACTATAGCATAGGGGAAACAGCGCCCCCCAAAATCGATACATGCCCCAATGATTCTCCTTTTCTGAAACTAGTCTTCGAGCAAATGTGCATTCCGTCCGAAAAGCATTCGTACTGCGCAGGTGGACAATCTGCTGACATCAGAGCCCGGTCTGCTAAATCCCGACGGGATTGACCACTCACCTCGTCGTATCTCTGTAGAGCCGAGTAGTACTGCACCGAGAGCCCAAAATTCTTTCTCAGTATCGGCTTTCTGATCCTCCTCGCAGCCGTGGCCAATATGCGTGACTGTCTCTCGCGGCTCAAATGGATGTGATCACCGACAGCAGCCCCTCCTGGTAACTTCCAATTTTGTCGCTCGTAGACAACTTCAACCAACCGGGTCAGCGTGTCAGCCTGCCATGTGGTCAGAAGCTCATTATGAAACGCCTTGACGTGGCGCTGAAGCTTCGACAAGTCGGACTTGAGTCTGAATACATTGGAGCGTAGCGTGCTCATTTTATAGTCCAGGTTCTGATTGCTGGCCTTCAACGACTCAAGAGCCGAGGTGTATCTCTGGGTAGACATTAGCACTGGTGCCTGCAGACACGTTCTATACCCCTGCTGCCTGTTATGTGAACGTTCTAGAGCTGACACACCGAAAGTGATGACAGTTTTGCCCTTCCTACTATACCATTCTCTTTCGAAGACGACAACTGAATCTGCGACCGATAAAAGGACATCCCAGGTCCGTATAGGGTGAGAATGTCGACATCCATATCGCCGAGTCGAGTATGATGCGCTATCTAAACAAACAATGAGGGTTCAACTATCCTTGAATATAAAACGATAAACGTGCAGGTGGCCTAAAGGCTAGGGAGGGATTGTGATGAAGTTCAGAGGCTTCTGGAGTCAACTCAGAGGGCTGCGACATGGAGGCAAACGGATCACCTGGCGCAGGGAAGGTGCGACTACACGCTCAGGCTGCTATGGCAAGTACTGCTTTATCGTGTCCATTTATTCCTTCGGAACACACACACCAGCATGGAAGAAAGCTAACATCGGCATTGATATCTACATTACAGCTTGCTTCCAGAGGTCTTGCCGAACTCAATCACCAGCTTCCCGAATTGCTTCCCGTCCTTCATATCCTGGAAAATCTCATCGATCGCAGGAATGTCCTCCAGATCAGTCTGCAGAACCCGCGAGATGACTGGATGGATCTTGTGCGTCTTGATGAACTCGACCATCTCCCTGAACTCCTTGCGCGAGCCCATCGTACAGCCCCGGACATCAATATTCTTCAGAACAGCCTTCATGGAGAACGGCATCTGCGGTGCGACCGTCATGCCATACACACAAAGAGCACCACCAGGCTATTCCAGTTAGATCATCCACACTACTCATATAGCAAAAGAGGGGAAAGTTTGCTCACCTTAAGCAACTTGACGGCCTTATCCACCGAATCTCCTCCAGCCCCGTCAATAATCGCATCGAAAGCCACTTTCCCTGTAGGCAATAACTCCAACAATTTCTGTTCCCACTTCTCCTGCTTGTAATTCACACCTCCCTTAGCCCCCAGCTCAATTGCTTTCCGGATCTTCTCCTCACTCGAGCTCGTCACATAGACATCCACGCCCCTAGCTACGGCAAGCTTGAGCGCCATCAATGCCACGCCACCTCCAATCCCGGTCACCAGGACTGCAGCTCCCTTGCTCGAGTTCCTCTCTCCAGCCTTGACCACCAGCGCTCTCCACGCCGTCAAGCCAGTGAGCGGAAATGACGCTGCCTCTGCATCCGACAAATGGTCGGGCACCTCCTCCAGCTCCCCCTCATCGACGGCGAGATACTCCTGCATCGTCCCCTTGTTGTACGACTTTGTCCCGCCCAGGATTCTGTACCCTTTGGGATCCTCCGGTCCATCCGGAGAATCCTTCCACCCTACTCCTGGGTTGATGACCACCCGCTTCCCGATCCAGCGTTGCGGATCGCGCACTCCTTCACCGGCGGCTATCACGGTTCCCGTACCGTCGGCACCCATGGGAACGTCGAAGGTGACGCCCGGATAGAGGTGTTGGCGAAGGAACACATCGCGATGGTTTAGTGATGTAGCTGTGAGCTTTACTAGAACCTCGCTGCCTTGAGGTACAGGCTGGGGAAGGGTCTTCACAGCGAGGGGGTAATAGACTTGACCCGGCTTGCCGGGTTTACCATCAATGGGGTTGAGGAAGATGGCTTTTGACATGCTGGGGTAGTTTCTTGAGTTATGTACTAAATAATATGTGTCTTAGATACGAAGACGGAGATCATAAGGTGAGTAAAGGTAAATTGAGATGAAGAAAAGATGATGGAGCATGCATGCACTTATCGGTTCGGCTCGGCGTGCGGGGATGAGGTGAGCTGTCTGGGCCGTTATCGGTTGCCGAGGATGTGCGTCGCAGGAGACAAAGTTGCTTGCGGTGAAGATCTACGCAGCATATGATATTGACCAGATTTATCTTTAAGATAGGAACACTTAGGTTTGAGTTAAACTCTGTTGGTTCTTACATAGTACAACTCAAATAGTACAACTCAATTGTTACTCGTAATTGACGTTCCAAAACTATCTTCAACAGTAATACTACTATATATTTGAGCCTCGGCTGAGGGGACTGAAATACTACCAGCATTGAACAATGATTATAATATATATCTACTTGGCACCAGAACACAAGTAGTAAACAACAACGACCATTGCAAAAAGTATCAATCTTCACAAGCATTGGCAATAGATTTCATCACAATTTGCATCTACCACGCAATTCAACTACCTTCCAACCAACTGGAGATTTGCTACCCCTACGTGATGCCATGATCCCACTCTACCATACACAAGCCTAGCTTTCCCGGCAATGTCATATGCAAGTTGGAAATGCAACCCAATGCATTAAATCTACTATAGATAGGCCATAGTACTTCCCGTGACGATAATATGAGGTGTGTGTATTGCTGTGTTGCCTCCGAGGAGGGTGAAGAGGGGGCAGAGCCATTGATCATTATGCATGGGGTTCCAGGAGTAAAGGAAATAGTTATACTTATTGCTAAGAGGCCAGTCAATTAGGATAGACATACGCGCTATGAAAGACGAGAAGGTATTGCAGATGGCCTGCTGCGAGCTGTTGTTGCCTTGCTAGATTTGTGTTCAGTCTGAGCGGAGACGATGATTGAGAGACTGTGTCTGAACTTATATTTTCAGATTTGTTTCAACTCATTTAGGTGTATTTCTTTTGGATTTTTGGAGTGATAGATGAGCGCGAGATGCTTGTCTGTGTATCTTGGCAAGGGGTGCCATTGTAGGATATATTGGATGCTGTCTTGTCAAGGGTAATCGATGGCAGTTAGGCAATGCATAGATGCATGGATCTGAAGCTCCTTCGTTGGCCTTGACTTAAAAGCATTGCTAACGAATAGCCAATTATACTATAACTTGTTAGGTCAATAACGGAACGGTGCGGCTCTGTGCCGCTGATCTTATTGGGTTTTCTGTTTGCAACCGTGTGATTCTGACCGCAGGGCTGCTACCTTTTGGAAATTATATCCTTGCTCTGTGAGAGCGCCGTGAATGGCAGTTGACAGATCAGCATTCTGTCTGGAGGAATGGTAAACTGCGGGAGATTGTTCGCGTTCGTCTGGAATGCGCAACGGCTCTACCCCTACAGAGTATGTGTTCGCGCAACTGCAGTCCACCTGAATTCTGCTTTGATCACCCTCAATGTTAATAATGAAGGCATCCTTGATCGAGCATCAAGCAGTCAATAGATTGTGAGGGCAATGGATGGCACGGGAATAGAACCAAACCACAGGCATCATCCATGTAGATCCCGGATGGAAGGTGGTATGAGAAGCCGAAGGCCGCGCAAACATGTCTGTCTCCAGCACTGCAAGCAAATCGGATTGTTGCAGATCGAGGATTGTATTGTTGTGTTGATGTTGAGTAAAGCTGCGATGGGATACGTGCCTCAGGCTGCGGCGTGGAGGTTGGGGTACGGTACGGATGGAGGTCACTGGTAAGTCACTGGCCACCTACTTTAGTATGTGGGTGTACCTGGCATGTACGTCGGCTGTATGGTATGTATGGAGCTGGTATGGAAGGTTGTTCTTCAGAGTGACGACACTGACTTTCTCCCACACAATTCATTGAAGATGCCTTACATTCTGCAGAGTTGAATTACCTGTCTTTCTGCAATGGTATACGAAGGAAAGAGAAGGCAGGGGAGTGGAAGCTGGCTAACCACACTAAATAGCCCGACCTTCAAAAAATTTTGACATTCTAAAAATACCCGGGGGGGAGAGCTTCCTCTCCATCCTAATGGAATTTCTCTGACGTTGAGTTGAAGCGACACGTCGAGAGAAACCAAAGCGTTTGCGGCCAAACCACCAGTGACGGTCTCGGCGTGGCAGTAGCCCGTCGTAGGTTTGTCTGGGGATGTTATGGCCACGCACCGTCCCGGAAATGCACCATCAAACTCCAGGTTTGGGGGAATCTTGGGATAACTGGAGATAGTCGGGTCAAATCTGACCTGTCACCTGTAGACTGAAATTAATTGCGATGGGCAGCTTGCACCACATGTAAGGCTGAGGATGAGCTATCTATCTATACCCGACCTCTCTGGAAGCTTTCCTGCGAAAAAGAGAGAACAGAAACCAGGCCTCAATTTGTGCGGCAGTTTCACAACCAGTGTGGGCTGAGGTAATAATAATAATAAACCAATTGCGGTCGCACAAGGCGATCTGGCGGTACGACCAAAAAGCGCGAAAACGAAGTCTAGTACGGAAAAAAAAAACAACGAAAACAGTCACTTCGTGACGTTCGTCACGACCCGTACGGTGGTAATTCCACGGCCACCAGCTAATTCGCCGCAAGCCTCTTCATTTTTCTTGACCTGCCAGGAACTCTCGATCCTTTCGATCTTCTGATCTCGACTCTGGATCGTCTAGCGTTCTTGTTTTCGACCTCGACTCTCAATCCGCCCCCGGCTTCTTTCCAGATCTCTATCTCAAAGACACAAAGGTGCGTTCTACTGTTCCCCCACGAATAGTCTGCTTTCCTCCACCTTGCTGTCTGCCTCTCTCCCCCTCGCTGATCCGTTCTCCTCACCAGCTCTACGGACTGCTGCTGTCTCCAACCCACCCTTCCACATCTCCCCCAGAAAAATGTTCGCATCGCTCCTTTTAGTTTTGCAATCCACGAACTTACCTTAACTTTTTCTAGATTCTCGTCTCCCCCGAACTTCTTCTTCTTTTGTAACTGGACCGGCATTCTTATCGTCCGTCGCCCAGCTACCGACCTTCATAATGCCCACGCCACTTCCGTCTAGTTTTGCCTCGGCCGCCGCTGGCAACACCCACGACTCCTCGAACAGGAGAGGGGATGGTTCTGCCGGTGGAGAATGGTACGCAATGCTCTTTTGACTGGTTCTATGCGGTACACTCGCTGCTTTGGCCGCCGTCCTCTTAGTCTTTTCCAGCGGTTTTGCGTGGTGGAGTTGAACTGACAACTCATCCTCAACGGGGGACATGCAGGTCTCGAACTCGCATGAATGGAGCAACACAGACTTTCCGCCGTCCGTCCGTTGCGACAAACCCTTCTCATAACCGGGATGCCAGCCAACCCACGTCGGCTACCACTCCCACCGTGGGCACCTACACTCCTCCGCATATGTCCTCGACCTACCAGTCCAGTGCACTCCGCAACGGAGCAGCTACCGACACGCGTTATTCAAAGGATCAGCTACTTAGTCTCTACAAAACCCAACGAGAGTCGGGCGTACTGGGGAAGAACGTTGCAGATTACTTCGTAGCTGACTGGAATCCCCACGAGACGTCACCCGTCAACGGCGCCTGGGGGAAACGGGAAGACTCGAAGGATAACCCCTCCGGCCCGGAAGTGTGCTGGGATCATGGGGGCCAGGTCGAGCCGTTGGGCCTGGTAGATATGACGGATGATGAGAAAGAGGTTTGTCTCTTTGCTTACCCCGCCTTGCTTGTTGCTTGAGCGTGTTTCTGCTTTAAAACCTTTTCTTTTCTTGGGAGCCGTGCTGAAGGAGCGCAGTTATTTACTCTCTCCGTCAACTCCCCCCTTAAGCCGCCACCGACGAACGCTTCGAAAGAGAACGCTGGCACCGGTACTGGTGGACGCAAGCTGTCTATCTCCCAAGGCCATATGAATAATTTCAACACCGCATCTCCCAGTGCTGGGCGCCCCGGCCCCAGACGCCGGGAGACGGGCGACTCGACCGGAAATCCCATGTCTCCCACCACCAGCGGCTCTCGCTTTTTCCGTGACGAACCGAACACCTCCACCCCGCCCCCATCCCTTTTGCGCCGCAAGACCGATTTCCGAGATACCTCTTCCGCCGCCCGATGGGAGGAGAAAGAGAAAGAAAACGTGGCTCGAGACGCAAACGCCGAAACTGCCTCTCCTTTCGGTTCTTTGAAGCGGAGTTCGACCAATCCTTTGAGCGCGGCACCGGGCGCCTCGAATTCTCCTTGGGGATCTGCGTCGCAAAGTGCCAACTTCTCACCCATGGGAGCGTTTGGTGCATTTTCTCTGGGCACGGCTACTACCCCGACAACCGAAAAGAAGGCCGGGTTCGGTAGTCTCCGCGGAGAGAGCCGTTTGAAGGGGCTGTTTTCGAAGGATAGCTCTGAGGACATTTCGGCCTCTATCAAGGAGAAGTCGTCCCTTAGTAGCTTGGAACGCCTGGGCGAGACGGAGGGCGAGAAGCGCGCTCAGTCGCCTTGGGGAGAGCCCGTGAAGACGCGTACTGGCCGCAGCGAGACGAACCCCTTCTCGGAGGAGCCTCGCAGTGGAAGTGCCGCGCTTGGCGGGTCTCAGGAAATCAGCACTCCCTCTCAGCCTGCGGACCAGCTTGGGTTCTCGGCTTTCGGCATGACCTCTAGCATCCCTGGATTCAGGGAATTGATGCAGAGCCATGAGAACTCTCGTAACCCTACTCCGAGTCTGTTGCAGGGACATGAACCCACCAGCCCGACCAACACGAACCCATATCAGAGCCCTCACGGCGACCGGGGTGGTGGCGACGATGACGTGGAGACTGATGGCTCCGACATTCAGAACTCCACGCATCCCGGCATCACTGGTCTTCGTGATACCTCGTCCGCGTTTGGTTCTATCCGACGGGTAGGATCGGGCATCGACTTGCCTTCAATCGATCGCAGCCAGACGTCTAGTGCCGCCGGCAACCGCAGCTTCTCCAGCCTGGGTGGGCTGGGAGGTCTGTCGTCGCTGGGTGGTGCGGCAGGATGGCCTACCAGCGCTGCTGTGGGTACTCCTACGCGGGAACGTTCGGCCTTTGCTGGTGGATTTGGTGATCCCATCTTCGGCACGATGGGTGATTTGCAGTCCCCAAGCCTGTCGACCCTGGGCGGCAGCGGTTTGTTCAGCCCCCATGCCGGCATTTCTGGCACGGGCAGTCTGGGCCGCTCCAGCAAGTTGGGTTCTCTGTTCCCGGCCGCGATGCAGGAGCAAATGCAAGGTGAGCAGGGACGGTCGGATCTGGCCGCTCTGGACGAGGCCGCTCGCCAACCTGGTAAGAACATCGACGTGCCTGAGTATGAGCAGGTCCTAATGCACCAATTAGACGCCCAACAGGATAAGCCGGGCCAGACGAGCCAACCCGCAACTACCTCGGCTTCGCAAACCCCCGTGTCTGCGGTGGGCTCCATTCCTACGTCGATGGCACCCGATGCACCCCCAACCAGCCAGACGCCTGGCCAAGCTGGAGCTCCTGGCTCTGTGCCTCCTGCCCAACAGCGGACCATGGTGATGCCGGATCGGATGCGTTGGATCTACCGCGACCCGCAAGGCAACATCCAGGGTCCCTGGACTGGACTGGAGATGCACGACTGGTTCAAGGCAGGTTTCTTCAGTCCCGACCTGCAGATCAAGAAACTCGAGGACCCCGAATTTGAACCCCTTGCCCAGCTGGTGCGACGCATCGGCAACTCGCGCGAACCCTTCCTGGTGCCTCAGATCGGCATTCCCCACGGTCCCGACCCCAGCCCTGGTCCCTGGACTGGGAACACTACCGGCACGGCTCAGCCTCCGTTCCCCGGCAGCTTCCCCAGCTTTGGTACCACCTTGACCGCTGAACAGCAGAATGCGTTGGAACGTCGGAAGCAGGAGGAGCAGTATTTGATGGCACGTCAGAAGGAACACCTCGCTCAGCAGCAAGCGCTGATGAAGCAAATGCAGTTCCAGGGTGTCCCCCACACGATGCACCCGCACCAGCTGCAGCATCACTCCAGTGCCCACAGCCTCCACAGCCAGCCCAGTTTTGGCAGCATCGCCTCGCCAGTCGGCTTCCAGCCCTCTCCCATCCAAGCCCCGATGCAGCAACCCCAGTCTGTTGCGGGCTTTTTCGATGCCGCAGGACCGGTGAGAGCAAACCCACTGCCCAACATTGGTCCCCAGATGCTCGGCACTGAACTGGGCACTCCCCAGGATCAGCTTCCCGCCCTCCTCGACCGCTTGAACGTGAACCGTCCGGATCCTTTCGCATTCGGCACCCCCGGCTCTTTTGCGGCTCGTCAGCCTGATAGTCTGTTTCATCAGCAGCAGGTTGCCAGCATGCTCCAGGACCGTGCTCGTTTGCAACAGGAACAAGAACAGTTTGACAGCGCCCAGGGTGACAACCTCTTCGACCAGCAGGCACGGGAAGAGCGCCTCCGCCAATTCCACGCTCTGAGAGCTCAGGAGGGTGAGTTGGGCCTCCGGACTGCCGAGGGTCTGCCCACGCACCCGGCCACAGTTCCCCAGCCGACTGAGCCCGAGGAAGTCGAGCCGGTGGCTGAGGCTGAGGAGCCTGCCCTGACGTTGTCGCAGCAGGTGCAAAAGGCCGCGTCTGCTCAGCGCAAGCAGCAGGAACAGTTGGAGCAACAAGAACAGCTTGAGCGCGAGCAGCAGGAGCAGCAAACTTCCGATGTCGGTGAGGCCGCCTGGACTGCCAAGGGAGACAGTGCCATGCCCCAGCCCTTCCCTCCGCCGCCCTCTGCCTCGCCGCTCCCGGCCCCGGCTGCTCAGCGCAACCGTCAGAATGTTGCTGAGTCTCTGGCTGCCAACTCGCGTTCCCAGACCCAGACTCCCGTAGAGGCGCCGACCACTTCGATCGCGCCTTGGGCAAAGGAAGCCAATGAGGTGCCGAAGGGTCCTTCTCTGAAGGAGATCCAGGAGGCCGAGGCCCGCAGCGCTGCGCAAAAGGAAGAGTTGGCGGCTGCTGCACGCCGTGCCCAGCTGCTGGCCGAGCAGGAGCGTCTCAGCCAAGTCCAGGCCCAGGCACCTGGCCTCCCGTCGACGGCTAACTGGGCCAGCGCTGGTTCTCCCGCTACACCTACATCTTCAGGCTCAGTTTGGAACAACAAGGGTCAGGCTGCTCCCTCTGGCGCCGCTAAGAAGACTCTTGCACAGATTCAGAAGGAAGAGGAGGCCCGTAAGCAGCGTCTGGCCGCTGCCGCCGCTGCTGCTCAGAGTGCGGCTGCCAGCCCCCCGACCGCCCCCTCTTCGACTGGAAAGCGGTATGCGGATCTTGCCAGCAAGGCTCCAGCGGCGTCTCCGGTCCCTGCTAGCGCCAGCACGTCGGGTGCCTGGACGACTGTCGGAGCGGGCGGCAAGCCCAAGCCCCCGCCGGCTGCTCCCGCCGGGCCTCGCTCGACCACCAGCGCAACTCCGGTGGCAGTTTCTCCCGTGAAGCCGAAGCCGGCGACTGTCGCGACTCCCCGGGCGGTTGCTGTCGCTACGCCTCCGGCCAACCCTAACCGCGCCGTGGAGGAGTTCACCAAGTGGGCCAAGCTTGCTTTGGGCAAGGGGCTGAACAGCAACATCAATGGTAAGTACCAGCAAATGGTAGGATTGAATATAGCTAATGCATAGTAGTGGACGACTTTGTACAGCAGCTGCTTTTCCTGCCTGCGGAGGCGGAGATCATCTCGGACTCGGTGTACGCCAACTCGCAGACGCTGGACGGCCGGCGATTCGCGGAGGAGTTCATCCGCCGGCGTAAGCTTGCCGACAAGGGCATCGTGGACCCCGTGGCGGCGAGTGCTTTTGCAGAGAAGAACGCGGGCGGATGGAGTGAAGTGGCCAAGAAGGGATCTTCGAACGCGCATCGTGAGGAGGACAACGGAAACGCAGCGTTCAAGGTGGTTGCGCCCCGCAAGAAGGGCAAGCGGTAGATGCATTGCAGTGGAATGCTTGCAGTAGATGATGATTGCAGATGGACGATGATGGCAGACGACTAAGATGTTTGGATTTAGAAGCGGAGCCGCGCATTGGCTATTGTGTATGTCAAATCGTTGATGTAGCATAACAGCGTTTCTGGCAGAGTCAGATTTAACTTTCTTGTGTATCTTATCGGAGCTCCTACGGACGTAGATTAAAACGGGATATAGTTCTAATTATAACCAGTAACTTTGTACTCCGGTAGTTATTGTGACTCATGAGGGGTAACAACATACTTCCTCCTCTTTAAATAGTGCTTATCTTCACTTGTCCCTCGATCTTTCCCTTTCTCTCTCTTTACATCCATCTACTCTATACATCCAACTCTTCAACAACAACACCACCATCATGACCACCCCAATTCCCTACGGCGCTCCCATGCGCCAACACTTCTGCCTCGACCCCAACTGGAAGAACCTCAACCACGGCAAGCCCCTCCCCCGTTCCCATTCCCATCTCCTCAAACGTTTCAAGCCTCCTAATAATGATACCCCAGGATCCTTCGGCACCTACCCCCTCCGGGTCCAAACCGCCCTCCGCGCCCACCAAAGCACCGCAGAATCGCACCCGGACCTCTTCATCCGGCGCCTCTGCCCCTCTCAAACCCAACACTCCCTCAAGTTACTCTCCACCCTCCTGCACGCGCCAGAATCCTCTCTCGCGTTCGTCAAAAACGCCACCACGGGCGTTAACACCGTCCTGCACAACATCCCCTTCACATCCAACGATGTGATCATCTACTTCGACACCATCTACGGAGCAATCGAGTACGGGCTTCTTGCCCTGCAGGAACGGACCGGCGTGAAACTTCGGAAGGTGGAGTATACGCTTCCGATATCTCATGGGGAGATAGTGAAGCGGTTTAGGGATGTAGTGGAGAAGGTGAGGGAAGAGGAAGGGGGAGGGTTGAACGTTAAGGCAGCGGTGTTTGATATGGTGGTTAGTGTTCCTGCGATCCGGTTCCCGTTTGAGGCGTTGGTGAGGGAATGTAAGGAGTTGGGGGTGTTGAGTGTGGTTGATGGTGCGCATGGGGTGGGTATGTTGGATTTGGATTTGGAAGCCTTGGGGGTCGATTTTTTGACGAGTAATTTGCATAAGTATGCCCCCCTTTCCCCCCCTTTCCCTTCTTTTGTCTCATTCCATTTGGGTGTATATGTGTGTGGTATTGATATGTGGTGTTGTTGCAGGTGGCTCTACATCCCCCGCGGCTGCGCCGTGCTCTACGTCGCGCCTCAACATCAACATCTCATGCGCACGACGTCGCCCACTTCCTGGGGATATATATCCTCCGCTGCGGCGGAGGAAGCGCGTACAAATGGCACCACTGCGTCTGCGTTCAGGAATCTGTTTCAGTCGACGGCTACGAATGACGACACGCCGTATTTGTGTGTGCCTGAGGCGTTGAAGTTCCGGGAGGAGGTGTGTGGTGGGGAGAAGGCTATTTATGAGTATTTGGAGAGGTTGGCGAATGAGGCGGCGGATGTGGTGGCGGGGGTGTTGGGGACGGAGGTGTTGAGGGATGAGGAGGGGTTGTTGACCAGGTGTGCGATGACGAATGTGAGGTTGCCGTTGAAGGTTGGTGATGGTGGTGATGGTGATGGGTATACGGTGGTGGAGAAGGAGGCGGTGGGGAAGGTGACGGAGTGGTTTCGTAATGTTCTCATGGATGAGTATAAGACGTTTGTGCCGGTGTTTGAGTACAAGGGGTGGTTGTGGATGAGGTTGTCGGCGCAGGTGTATTTGGATAAGTGTGATTTTGAGTGGTTGGGAGGTGTGTTGAAGGAGTGTTGTGAGAGGGTGGGGAGGGAGGTTCTTCAGAAGTAGTAGATAGGAGAACATGGATTGGTCGAGCTAAGCTTTAGAAAGTATGTTGTGACTGCTGAAAATGGAATTTATAGATATACAACTACGGACATGTATATGCAGCAGCTGGCAAGCAATAACCACAGGAAATAAGTTGCTGGCTCACTCGGTATGAACATGACTAAACCCAAATACACGGCTCCATAGCTTATGTCTCGATCAGATCGGCCGTCTCGCCCTGGGTCTGCTCCGAAACCGTGTTGTCCCGGGTGTCCTTGTTGGCAATCTTGCGCGCCGACCGCGCATAGAACTCGTCCAACACCCGCTTGGGGATACGGTTCAGCAGATCCTTGGGGTAGATGCGCAGCAGGTTCCAGGCAATGTCCAGCGACTCGAAGATGGTGCGCGACTCGTACGGCGACTGGCTGATGAAGGTGCGTTCGAACTTGTCGAGGAACTCCAGGGACAGCTTGTCCTCGGAAGACAGAGCCTCCTCACCAACGACAGCTTTCATGGCGGCTATTTCAAGTTAGTATGTGAGAATGCTGATACGAGAAGGGGACTGACCGGCATCACGTCCAATGGCGTACTTGGCGTACAGCTGGTTGGACACTTCAGAGTGATCCTTACGAGTACGTCCAGTACCAATGGCAGACTTCATCAGACGAGACAGGGAAGGAAGCACGTTGATCGGGGGGTAGACACCCTTGTTGTGCAGCTGACGATCGATGAAGATCTGACCCTCCGTAATGTAACCCGTCAGATCGGGAATGGGGTGAGTGATATCTATATTTGGTTAGCTGACGAACCAACCCTCTAAGAAAGAGTCATACCATCGTTGGGCATGGTCAGAATGGGAATCTGAGTGATGGATCCGTTGCGCCCCTCCACACGTCCGGCACGCTCGTAGATGGTCGACAAGTCAGTGTACATGTAACCGGGGTAACCACGACGACCTGGCACTTCTTCACGAGCGGCAGAGACCTCACGAAGAGCATCACAGTAGGCGGACAGATCAGTCATGATGACCAGGACGTGCTTCTCCAGCTGGTAGGCGTAGTACTCTGCGGTAGTCAAGGCAAGACGGGGGGTAATGATACGTTCGATCCTAAGGAAAATCAGTTACTGCCTTCATCCAAATGGCGTAGCACATACGTAGGGTCGTTGGCCAAGTTCAGGAACAGCGTGACACGCTCCATACTGCCGTTCTCCTCAAAGTCGCGAGTGAAGAAACGGGCCGTTTCCATGTTCACACCCATGGCAGCGAAGACGATGGAGAAGTTCTCTTCGTGTCCGTCGTGGACGTCCTTGGTAGGACGCTTCACCAGACCAGCCTGACGACAAATCTGAGCGGCAATTTCGTTGTGAGGGAGACCGGCAGCGGAGAAGATGGGGATCTTCTGTCCACGAGCAATGGAGTTCATGGTATCGATGGCAGAGATACCGGTGGAGATCATCTCCTCAGGGTACACCTTTGATCTTATCAGCACAGCCGCATCCAGCGCAGTCACCATATACATACACGAGAGTAGGGGTTGATAGGTTGACCGTTGATATCCAGGTAATCCTCCGCCAGGACCTTGGGGCCCTTGTCGATTGCGCGACCGGAACCGTCGAAGACACGACCCAGCATGTCTTCGGATACACCCAACTTCAAGCTGTGACCGGTGAACTCAACTTTCGTCTGGCAAGGTCAGCTGCCGTATCCATAAGTGACAGAGTTCCAGAATAAATACCTTCTTGACATCGATACCCGAAGTTCCTTCGAAGACCTAGTATGATCGCATCCAATGTTAACGCTCCGTACGATAAGCCATATCACTAGCACACCATAGCTGCTATGTAAATCGTACCTGAACGATCGCCCTGTTTCCTGTACCAGAGATATTATATTAGCTATCTGAACGAAACCGCTGTCGCATGCGATGCTGGGACATACCGCGAGCTTCGAGGACCTGACCCGACCGCTCGGTTCCATCGGGGAGAGTGAGGGACACGATTTCATTGTAACGGGGGAATTTGACCTAAAAGGGATCCTTGTAAGCTGGCTATTTGTCTGAAGGCTGATCCGTTGTTGGGAACAGCGGCGCAACAATGCAGGTTGACGTACGTTATCGAGGAAGACCAGTGGGCCGTTGATACCTCCGATGGTGTTGTAACGGATGCGAGGCTTGACGCTGGTCATCCGGGGATCAACAAAGTCGGCCATGGTGAAAGATGCAGCAGCAGCAGCAGCAGCAGCAAGCGCGCACAGAAGGAGACCGAGAAGACGGGGGGAGGAGGTTGAGGGGAGAGACAGGGCAGCAGCAGCAGCAGCTCCTTAGTCGAGGCCGAGTGTCGACGTATGCTTTGGCTGCTCCACGCCGCCGCACGGGCGGTGACCAGCCACGTGATGCTACACTAGAGTAGTCCACCTCCTGCCGAGCTAGTTACAAAGCATTATCAACTCTTTGAGGCAGAGGGGCTTATGCTACTTTATAGATTTATAGTTAGCTATGTTGATTATATACCTCGTATACTCTGTGGATATGTTATCCCTGCTATATTGATGATCTTATACTCCTCTAACTGCACATGAGATGGACACTGAGCTGGGGACAGCTAAAAGAGCCATTACATATCAGTATTTTGGCTTGCTCCCTATTTCCTTACATATACAAAGGACTGAAAATGTGATCCCAGTTGAGTGCCTTTGAATGTTGACTCGTCAATGACTACACGCACAGCTGTTGATAGTCTGCATCTTACCCCATACTTGGATCTCCAGCGTCCACCGTCTTTCCTGTTCCTTATCTTATCGCATGTACTGCCGTTGAATTACATAATCACATGCACCGGCCATTCTGACGTGGCACAAATACGGTATCAGTATGTATCCTTCGGAGATACCATTATCGTAAGATTGATAGTTAAGATACATAATGTCTGTATATTGTTTAGAAGGCTTTTTAACGTATGATCTACATTAATGGTAACTGGGTCTATACTACATGTAAGTTTAGGAACAATTCCGAGCCTATTCCGAGCCAGTCTTTCAAACCGCCGGAAGAACAGTTGATCCCGGGCTTAGTTTGACAGTTTTGATTGAATTATCGCCCGGCGATTTGACTCACCAGGAACAGTTTATACCCCGCCTCCGAGATTCAACCCCTCTCCTTGACATTCTTTCCAATCCTCACAAAAACATGACCAACTTGACCGCGGACGAGAGGCTTGCCCTCATCACCGAGAACCTCCAGGAGGTTCTCAACAAGGACATCATTGAGACCATCCTGGCCGAGGGACGGAGCCCAAAGATCTACTGGGGTACTTAACTTTTTTTCTCCCCTCCCGCACGAGATCCCTCTCATTAAAGCGGTACAACTAACATGATGATCTTCACAATGCGACAGGTACTAGCCCGACTGGAAAGCCTCACTGCGGATACCTGGGTACGAATTCCCCCCGAAAACAAACGTGGCCAATTATCACAACTTACTAACGGTAATGCTCGATAGTGCCCGCCGTAAAGATCGCCCAGTTCCTCGCCGCCGGCGCGGAGATGACCATTCTGATCGCCGATCTGCACGCCAACCTGGATTCCCTGAAGTCGACCTTCGAGATCGTCGAGCACCGCGCGAAATACTATGAATACACCATTACCGCTCTGCTGCAGGCCGTCGGTGTCTCGACCGAAAAACTGCGCTTCGTTCGCGGCAGCTCTTACCAGAAGAACGCTGACTACGTGATGGACGTCTACCGACTGTCCTCCGTGGTTTCGGAGCACGATGCGAAGCGCGCCGGTGCTGAGATTGTCAAGCAGTCCAACAATGGTCCCCTGAGTGGTCTCTTGTACCCCCTCCTGCAGGTCCTTGACGAGCAGTACCTGGATGTGGACGCTCAGTTCGGTGGTCTTGACCAGCGCAAGCTGTTCGCCGCGTCGACCGAGTGGCACCCCAAGCTTGGCTACAAGAAGGTAAGCATTACCATAGTCATTGCTAAGACACGAACTCAGACTTACACACTTCTCAGCGCGCGCATCTCTGCAACGCCATGGTCCCCGGTCTCTCTGGTGGCAAGATGAGCTCCAGTGAAGAAGGTAACATCCCACACACCCTCTCCCCCATATACTAGCGGACTCGACTAACAACCACCAGACAGCAAGATCGACCTCCTCGAATCCGTTGACAGCATCAAGAAGAAGATCCGCAAAGCGCAGGCCGCTCCCAAGGAAATCGACAACAACGGTATCCTCGCCTTCGTCCAGTACGTCCTGTTGCCGGTGTCCGCCCTGAAGACTGGCAAGCCGGAGTTCCGCGTCCCCCGTGATCGCGACGGCCTGGAGCCTCTGGTGTACACCGACATCGAGAAGATGCACGAAGACTACAAGAACGACATTGTACGATAGCCCCCTCCCCATGGCTCATAGTATCCACATTATACTAATATACTCTGTACAGCTCTCCCCCCAAATCCTCAAGCCCGCCGTCGCCGACGCCATCGTCGAGCTTACCGCCCCCATCCGCGCCGCCTTCGACGCCAACCCCGACTGGCAGGAAGTCACGCTGAAGGCTTACCCGCCTCCGGCCCCGAAGCAGAAGAAGGAGAAGAAGCAGAAGGACAAGGGGTCTCGTCACCCTGGTGCCGCTAAGGAGGAGACCCCTAAGCCGGCTGAGCAATAGACGTTAAATTGCATCGTTTTAAGACTACCTAAATAGTTATGGACTTTTTTTCTCTTTGCGTGTCTGATATACAATTGCATGTGAGCAGCAGCGAATTAGCTAGAATTGGACCTTTGAATTTTATTTCATGCGGGTATTTGGTTGCTATCTTGCTGTTTAGGTGGGGTTATCTTACTACGCTTCTGTAAGTATTGGCAGGGATATAGAACGCATTGTTTTGGTAATTACTTTACTGTGTCGGTGTCGTTACCTGCACGATATACTCGCAAACGGTATGACGAAACCAACCCAACAAAGTATGAAGATAGAAAAAGCAACTTCCATAGTAATAATAGACCCATCCTCATTAATAAATTTAAGCTAATGTCATCGTGATCCGGCCGTCATGAGAAATAAAAAATCAAATCGTAATCATACATGTTAAGAAGCGAATAAGGAAGACCACCGCCACACTGGAACATCACATTTCGACCGTAAAGATATGCGCCGACCGCCATGATATGACCAGACCTGTTAAGGTATCGTAGAAAAGCTAAGAATATGAAAGGGAAAAAGTAAAAAGGGGGGAAGAAGGCTAGCATTCTAGTCCACCTTGGCGAGAGCCAGTTTCTTTGGAGTGGTTAAGTTGTTGGAGAGGCGGACGTTGGTCTTCTTATTCTTGGTCTGCTTCTTGAGCTTCTTGCGCGCAACCATTACCGGAACGGATGAGTGCATGACCAGGTAGTTGGAGAAGGAACCGAGGAGGACGCTGTGATAGCGGATATGTCAGTCAGTGTCTGTTTGTGTTAGTGGGTGGAAGCTTGCTTACCCCTTGAGTGCGCTGCGGCCTCTGGCTCCAACGATGACCAGGGTGGGGTCGAGTCCATCGATCTGACGCCAGTTAGTAATTTGAAGCATGAAAAGTGAGGAGGAGACGTACAGCTTCAGTGATCATGTGTTTAGGGCTCTTGCAGTGGATCGCCTCAACAGCTACGCGGACCTGAAGCAACGTCTTGCGCAGGAGCCGAACACAGGTCTGGGAGATGACCTCGACCGCGTGGACACGTTCCGACTCGGCCTTGGACATGCCGCGAGCATCCACCGAGCTCGGCTTGCTGTCCGTTCCGAGACGGCCGAACAATGCGCGGGGAAGGTGTGAGTTTGAATCGTTCTGCGCCTTTTCAGCAGTCTCTGCGGTCTGTGACCCCACGACTGCCGCCGCATCCTGAATAGCTTTGGCACCGTCACCGATCTGCACTGAAGCAGGCGTGGCGGTCTCATCGTGCATAGCGCAGACAGCAAACATGGTGTCACCGTCCCGGAGAATAGTCCCTATGGTCCACTCCAGCGCATACACGGATTCCTCGCTCAGATCAGTAGCGACTAGGTATTTGCGTTGCCGTCGGCGGCTGCTCTCAGTCTCTTCCTGTGCCTCAGCGTAGTCTCCGCGAATGATCGTCCGGATGGACCGATGCTGGACTGTGCTGTCAATGGATGACATCTGGATCCCCAACTTCTGGGCTCGCTTGATATCGGACAGCTCTGCCTCATCTTCGGAGCCAAACGGAGTATTGGTGGCCGAGGCCGAGTCAAAGCTGGTCCTTGGATGAACATCAGGCTTCTTTAGCACAGGTCCTTGTTTGGCCGAGTGTATCAATTCCGGCTTTTCCGCTGTATCAGGATTTGGTCCTGTGCATCATTATCAGTAACCATGATGAGAATTGAAAATAGGGAACTATACGTACGGAACTCAGGTGCAGTCTTAGTAGTGGTAAGCGGCTTTGGTCCAGTATTAACGGGAACTTCCTGCTCGACGGCCTTCTTCCGGCCACGCTTGACGTCTGAATCGTCCTCATGAACGGCCTCTTCGTCGCTGGAGGTGGATTCGTCGGCATCCTCGTCACTGGTCTCAATTGGATTGTTTTCGCTGTCAAAACGATCCTTCTCCAGTCGCTCCTCGCCCGGGGCCGACGATTTGGCTTCAGGCTCGGGAGACCCGGGGCGGGAATCCGGATTAGTAGGCTCCTTAGCCGCAGGTGCCATTGGGGTAGTCTCCTTTTTAGTGGTCACCACAGGTTGTTTCACCGGATCGACGGCCGGTCCACGCGTATTGGGGTTCAGCCAGCGGCGCTTAGGAGAGCTAGAGCGAGTCGGTCTGAGAGAAGAAACACGAGAGTCGAGAGAAGTTCCGCGCGTAGCATTGCTGCGGCTAGAGTCCCTGCCTCTGACGAAACTTGGGAACCCGACTTTCAGATCCAGCCCTGACATCACCGCGGCCATGCTCGGCAGCCGATTGGATGGTTTCTCCTGAGGTTGAGCAGTCCGTCTGGCCGCATTGCGGTTGGCGACGCTGGGCGGCATATTTGTCGACAAATCCCAGCGGATGCTGGGTCCAGACTTATGTTCAGGCTTATTTTGCTGCTGGTTGCTGGTGCCGTTGCTGTTGTTGTCTCCCGGCTTTTCTTTGTCGCCTGACGCCAAGTCGGTGGATCGGGTGGGGGAGACTGACCCGTCGGATTGGACGGACCCTTTTCTCTGTGCAGAGGGCAAAGGGGGAGCGACAGAGGATGTAGTGGCGCGAGGAGTTGGGGGAGCAGTTGTCGCGGTGGCGGGCGATGGATTGAAGGTTGTTGCAGTTGTGGTAGCAGTAGCGGATGAGCGGCGAGGGGGTGAAGGCAGTGGAGAATGAGAGGAGGAATAGAGTGAATGATGTCGGACAGAAGAAGGGGGAGTCACGCCCACGCCAATACCGGCGATGGAGCCATGCCGCGGGGGTAAGAAGCCGGGACTCGGTGAGATGTCCAGCAAGCTCCGGCGCCGAGACGTCGAGGGCGCCTCGCCCATCTCTTCCAGCAACTCCCGTCGCTCTTCTTCCAGGGCCGTCTCCAGCGACATGTGGGCGGGCTTTCTGCTATAGTACGGCATGGTGGGCTGTGGGGTACGGCCTCGCGCTTGTCTTTGGCTTTGCGCGGGCGGGTTCCAAACACTAACCGTGGACTAAATTATTAATGTGAATCAGTTGACGAACCTAGCTAGCTTGCCAGCTTCTGCCAGTGCCCGGCTTTGGAATGTGGAGAGAGAGAGAGGGGAAATAGTCATAAGCTGATTCCGAGCTTTGTCCCCAGGTCCTGTCCCGCTTTTAGAACCAGGTTTCTCTTTCTTTCATTTAAGGTTGCTGTTCCATGCAAGAGAGCTTCTTACGTTGTGTGCTTTCTAGTTATAGTTATAGACCCAGCTGAGGTTCAGATAGAATCCTGAGGGGCACGCGACAGTGATGGAGCTGGATGGAGACCGGAACTCCACGTGCGCAACGGCTGCAACTCAACGGCGATCCTCACTCAGTGCTTGTCTACCTCGGATGATGCCGAAGAGAGGAGAAGGGCTGGCGTCTGGCCAGCAAGCCGACGGAGATGAGAAACAGCTCGGATGTCTCCGTAGATGGTGAACAGCTGTGAAGAGAAATGAAGAAGGATAGACAGCATCACCCAGCTGTGGGGGGAGGATGAAGAAGAGGAAGAAGAAGGAGGAAGGCGAGACGACCAAGTTGGAACAAGCCAAGGCGTCCAAAGCTCGGCATGGCGGGGTATCACGAACAAGAGGCGAGCAAGCTGGCTGATCCTTATAAAGCAACGAAGCACGATCAATCACGGTGACCAGGTGGTGCAAGGTGCCACCAACCGGTGATGAGCATCCCTTGCATTGGCCCTCCCCCAGGGCTTGATGCTGGCGATCATCCTGGGGGGAGGATCGGTTGGCTGTTAGTCTCACACTTGCACTCCTGCCTGGATGCAGCTGGAATGCGAACCCATCGATTCTTCACCAATCGAGGTGGAGCTGTGTACGCAGGATGCAGTAGACCGGCTGCTTAATTATGCTCAATGTGAGGTGTTTGTTCCTTCAATCACGGCCGAAGCTGTCATGGTCACGTTCTCTCCTTTGCCCCTTCAGCACCTCCTTCTCAATTACTAGCGGTCAACAAGGTATGTCTGTTTTATTACTGCCAGCACTACTACTGTGTATTGGGCACTCAATGGTAGCAAAGTGCAGAATTCAGAAATAAAACCCAATGTGAGAAAGGAATTGAATGAAAAACAAAAAAACAAAACAATGCATTCCCATGCCTGACTGCCAAATCACTCAATGTACCATGCTGCAAAGGGCTCTGTCCCTACATGACCTGAACTCCCAACCTCAAAGATAAGTAGTAGTGATAAAAAAAAAATAACGCATAAAGAGACAATCCACCCAAGGATAACACACCTCACCCCTTGGTCCTCTTCTGCTTCTTCTTTTTCTCCCCACGCGCAGCCATAGCCTTGAAGGCCTCCTCAGGAGGACTCGACCTCCGCTTCCTCCTCGGCTCCAGAGGGTTAAGCTTACTGTCCACGTCATACTTCTCCTCCAGTTGATGACAGAGGACGTCAAGACGGGAGAGGTTTCGCTGTTTAATCATCGCAGCCAAGTCACCCACGTCCTCGGGGCCACCCTTCTTCTTCCTCCCCCCTTGGTTCTTCCTACCCGTCTTAGACTTGTTCTCCTCGATCTCCTTGCCCAATTGTTCCGCCTCCTTCGCTTCCTTCAGTGCCCGCTTCAATCTGGCTTGACGCTTCTTGACCGGCTCCTCTGTATATTTCTTGTACTCCTGGGCCCTTCCATCCGCAATAGCCGAGTCAATGATAACACGAAATCGCTCATCATCATCAATGACATTACACAGCATCACCGACTCGTAGATTCTATCCATATCGCCCCGGTGAAGTTCATAGGCCTGCAGTATATCGTTGACCTCTTCCTCGGACCCCTGGTATTCCTGCTTGAGCTTGTCGATCGCATCGACGTCGATGGCGGTCGCGAACTGCTCTCGATAGAACTCCATCCAGTCGAATCCATCATCTTCTTGCAAGGCTTCCTCTGTGCTACCGGTGCGATCGAATATCTCGCGGCGACGTTCATCGGAAAGGACGGCGTAGGCATAGGCGATCTGTTGGAATTTGGTGTTTGCTTCTTCTTTTTTGCTCGGGGGTGCCTTGTCTGGTGCTGGTGGTTAGACTGTACATTCCACCGAAGTGATAGATAGATAAGAGTATAGTAAAGTATATACGCACCAGGATGATGCTTTAGCGCCTTCTTCTTATAGGCAGCTCTGATCTGGTCTTGAGTCGCTTTGTTATCGACACCGAGGAGCTCATACAAGTCAAGGACTCTGTGCCGGGGTATAATTATTTCATCGTTTTCATCGCGTTCAATCTCTTCCTCCGAATAGTCTTCATACCATGGGCGGGCCAGAGGGCGGTCGAGGGGGGTCATGACTGATAGCTGGCCAAGGAACCAAAAAAGTATCAAGGAAGTGATGAGAAGAAGAAAAGGAGAAGCGCGTGTGCTAAGAACTTATATAAGAAAGTGACGCAAAGTAGGTAGAAGACATAACACCTCGGCCGTGAATCTCTCGCGTTACAACGCAACGCAACCAAACCAGACAAACAGCCCGAAACGCGCGGAACGCGAATCCTCTTAGCTTTCCTAAAGTAGTTTAGCCGACCAGCCATCAATCAATATCAGATAAAAGTAACTAAATTTGATATCTATGCGGTCATAACCCCTCACTCTATTACTTATTCCCCTCCCCGTCTCTCTACACAGTAACACGTTCTACAATACCCAACACAACCACACAACCACAAAAATGACCACCACTACCACTGACCCCAACAAGAAGGGCATCCCCAGCACCCCCCACCTCCACTACATGACCCAATGCCTCGCCCTCGCCCGCAAAGCCCCCGCCCTCCCAACCAACTTCCGCGTCGGCGCCCTCCTCCTCAGCCGCAGCACAACCGACACCACACCAACCTACTCCTCCGACATCCTCCTCTCAACCGGCTACACAATGGAATTAGCCGGTAACACGCACGCCGAACAATGCTGCCTATCCAACTACGCCTCCGTGCACGGCGTGCCCGACGAGCAAGTCCACACTGTTCTTCCCCACAATGACCCTGAGAGGAAACTTGTCATGTACGTGACCATGGAGCCCTGCGGGAAGAGACTCTCGGGCAATGCGCCGTGCGTGGAGAGAATCATCAATACGAGACAAGGTGGGGAGGGACGGGGCATTCAGAAGGTGTATTTCGGGGTGAAGGAGCCTGGGACGTTTGTGGGGGAGTCGGAGGGGGTGAGGAGGTTGGAGGAGGCCGGGGTGGAGTGGGAGGTTGTGCCGGGCTTGGAGAAAGAGATTTTGGAGGTTGCGGTTGAGGGACATGAGAAGGAGAAGAGGGAAGAGGAGGTGAGGAGCGCGTTGGAAGGGGTGAAGACGGATGTTGAGCCGAGTGAGGAAGAGAGGAGGAGGCAGGAGACGCAGCCGAGGAATCCAAAAAAGAGGATGATGGAGGGGGAGATAATGATGTAGACTTTGCCTGTACATTAGGTTTGGTAATGGGGTGGGGAGGCGTTGAGTTGATGCCGCTGGCGGTATTGTCCTTGTATACATGTGTACAGTGGGTGAAGTTTGGATGCATAGCCTACGAATCTGAAGAGAGATGTACATGGATAGGTTCCGGATTGATGTTTGAGAACTATCTGTTACAAATATCGAAATCTAATAGTGTGAATGCGCTGTGGAAGCTCGGATAGAATGATGTATCATTGGCATGCTGGACATTCTTCTGTCCTTGAATCCCTCCTCCCTCACAGCACGAGGTAGTAGATCGGTATTATTGTGTCTAATGTACCTGTCTAATCTCTCTTCAGAGGACCACCGCTTGTTCCTGGAATCGGTATCAGAGATAGGGTAGATAGCGTCGGACTGCTATCCCATATTGTCCACTCTTGCGGTGGTGCGCGGGTGCATTATGCCCTCCATGATTCTATCCACAGCTGAGGCAATATTTTCAACTATTCGTTCAACCAATTGATCAGCCCACCTGGACTCCCTCAAGACCCTCAAGGACCTCTTCACCAACACCTCCCTTCTGCAAGACCAGCTTGAGCATCTTTGCAATCGTGCGCCGCTTGACACCGCCCCGTCGGGGTCTCCAAACGCCCGCGACCTCTTCGCCAGTAGACGGGTCCGTCATGGCCGCCTCTTCCGCAGCTGCTGTGGAACCCAGTGTCGCCACATTCTCCGAGTTCGACACACCCGGCTGCGTAAGACGGGACGGAGGGTCGACTGTGCGAATAGAAAGTAGTTTCAGACCATCCGAGTCACTATCCTGGGTGATAGAAACAGCCAGAACAGTATCCGCGACAGTGATTTCCTCCCTGTTAGGATCAAAGATGACATTATCGCCCACTGAAATAACAAGCAGCGTCACGGGAGGCCGGACCTGCTTCGTAGAAGATAGGCGAGGCCCAGACTGCGAGCGGGGGTATAGATATTCAGCGGCATTCCAATCATCATCGAAGAAGGGATCTTCTTCTCCCTTGGACTTGAGCTTAGGCAGCTTAGTCGACAAAAGAGCCAAATGAGTCGTCAAAGACAGCAACGGCAGCGGATACGAAAGAGGCTGCGACAGCAGCAGCACCTGTACGAACACCATTAGCATCACTACCCCCTAACCCCCTCCACCAGAAAAGAAGCAATCACTCACATCAATATACAACCTCCAATGCCACCTCTTATTAATAACCAACCTCCCCTTCAACCCCCCAGCCATCTCATCCTCACCCTTTCCATCGCCTCCAGCGACCGACTCAACAAGCGGCTCGCGCATCATCTCCGACAAGAAAACCGGGAGGGCATCATCATCCCGAAACCCCGGGATCTCAATAGACATCTGCACCCACGAGCCATGGCCATGACTGGATGTTTTCTGGCCCTCTCCGCCTTCATTATCGGCGTAATCTTCCTGCGTTTTTTGCGATAGATTCAGTGCTTCGGCCGCAACAACGGTCTTTTCCACCTCAGCCTTCACACCCACGATGGCTTGCGTACCGTCGGCGAACCCAACGCGCGCGCTACCGTTGGTGCCCGGCAGAATGTCTGTTTCTGCGGTCAATGGGCGGAATTGCGTGGGCGAGCGGCCATCGGGGCGGATAGGGCCGTCTGGGAGAGATAGTGATGTGTAGAGGTAGGAAAGCTCTGCTGGGGAGATGAGGGGCGTTTGGGAGGCGGAGGAGGCCTGGCGTTGGGCGGCCATTTTGTGGAACTGTTATGGCTTTTGAGGTGAGGATTGGGTTAGATGGTCGATTGGTAGTAGGTCGGTAGCCTGCGACTTCTTCGCTGAGGATTGCCGCAAGTCTTGCGCGGAGTGGTGGAGGAGGGTCAATAGTATAGCGTAAGTTGGAGGTAAAGGTGAGACTTTGATGATGGTGCCTTCACTCGTAGGGCGCTCTAGCTAAGCCTCCCACGCCAAATTAGAACCTCTATATATATCGTTCGCGACAAATCCAGTCTCGATGGGAACTTTTGACGTAGTGCTGCATTGGGAAATTCTGCCGGTGGGCGGGGAATGGTTGTTCCGTGATTACTACCGCGAGTACGGAGTACACCAGTTGCATACCAGCAGAGCGCTTTCGAGAGCTTCATAATATTACAGGTTTACTTGCTTGCTAACTCCAGGAAAATTTGAGTTTCGAGTGATAAAGTATTTTAAGTATTTTGACAGACAGTGGTCTGTTCCATTAACAGTAGATATAAACAGACGGGTATCCCGTCGGGTAAGTCCTATATTACAAGATTGTTCAAGCCCAGAACCAGCCACCAGTGCTCCTTCCCAAAAAGTGGTAAAATTGTACAATAGATGAATGGAAGTTCTTTTGTTCTTGTGGAGGAAGCTTGTGGCATCGCTTCCCATCCGCGCATCGAGACAGAAAGGAATGAGGGGGGTAGAGAAAGAATGATGAGGAAGGATCAATGCCCGGGAAATATACAGAGGGGTGAAGGGAGTTTGACAAAAGGAAATGGTCGACTGCAGGGGTCAGGGCGTATGCGGGGAGCTGAGTATGCAGGTGTAATGTATATATATCGAAGGAATGGTAGCAGACATTGCGACTCGCGCGATTGGTATCAGTGCAAACAGATGAGCAATGTGCAGGTGATGTTAGGATATCAAGGAACGAAAGACATATATGCAAGTGGTATACCGAAAACAAGGTGCGAGGCCGACGGTATCTATAAAAGGGCCTTTGGGGTATGAAAACAGAACCAGACAAATGAAAGAAACCCGGGCTGAACCATGGCCTATACAAACATGGGTACAAATCAAAGCGCAGGATACATAAGAACAAAGACACAATGAAATGTAAGAAAAAAAAAACAAAACGAAAAAAAGATGAATAAGCTGCCAACCCTCCGTGGATAAAAGAAACAGAGTAGACATCAGATCCCATACGCCTTTGCTCGGTTAATTCGCCGATTCCGCGCGTGACCACCACGTTTTTGTTCTTTTGATTAAATATGAACAAGATCTGAGAAAGATGATGAAGAAATGAAAAGAGTTGTGCCTTCTCCAGCACGGAGAAGCTAACGGTAAGTTGCTGAACCTGTCAGGAACTTGGCCGGAGCTGGCTTTGCCCAGTCACCATCTTCATATGGTGGGGTTGGCCATTGGCGACTGGTGTTTGCGTCCGTCTTCTCCTCCGCAAGGGGCAGGCGTCTGCACGGCGTAGCGTCTGAGTGACCGAAGCAGACGCCATCGCACTTGGCGGACGGGGAGGGGGTAGGATAAGGACTAGGCAGGGGGCGAGAGCTGTCGTTACCCACGGCCGGGCGGCTGTAGTTCGACGAAACTTCCGATGACACTTCGGTCTGTGCCAGACGCCTAGCAGCCTTGCTCGCCGAATGCAAGACTTCATCCAACAGCTCGTCCTCTTCCTCGGGAGTCTCATAGCGGTGGATTGGGTTGTTTGACATCTGCATTGCGCGCCTAGTCCGGCTGGAGATTGGCCCTCCCGTGCCACTGGTCGACACAGGGCTTTCTCCCATTGAGCGAATCGAGCCCTGCGGCATAGATTGGCGCTTGGTGCTCTCGATAGGGGAGGTGATTTGCACCGGAACATTGCCAAGGGCGGCCGAGTCAAGCGAATACTTCACAGTCTGGAGCGCTTTGTCCAGCTCCGAGAGATCAGAATTCTGCTTGGACTCGCTAACGTTGTTGACGGAGTCCAGAGCCAGAGAGGACCGATTCGACCAAGGCATGCAGCCGGCGTTGGCCTCAACATCGTCGGTACCAGAGTTGGCCTGGTTGCGACCGGATAGTCTGCGAGCGCGCTTGCGGAGGTGCGAAAAGAAGCTCTCCTTGGGTGTCACTGCGGAATACACGTTTCCGCCGCCATTGAGCGCTCGCTCCGCTTCTTGGCGGTGGATTTCGGCGTAGTGATTACCGTGCGAGTTGACAGAAAGCTGTCTGCCAATCTTCTTGCTCGCCTTGCTGGCGTTGGCACTGTCGCCAGAATGCGCGAGAGACGAATTGGCTTGCGCTGTGACCGCATTAGAGAGAGGAGAGACTGGCCTAATCGAGGGCAGGATAGGCATTGGAGCCCCATTCGCCCAAGTGGCACGCTTACTGGCCGCCGGCTTGCTCTTCCCAACCTGAAGGTCCGAATATGCCACCGATTGCTTGGAGGAATTCTCACTCTCCACAGGTGGCACCGGGCTTTCCGACCTGCCGATCAAAGACCTCCGGAACCACGAGGACTTGTATGACAAGGTCGAAGATTCGCTTGCATCACGATTGGCGGACTTGAAGCTCTTGTCCGATTGCTTCCGGCCCAGAAGGCGAGCTGTAGAAGATTTGGGCCTCAATGGGTCAATGGCATCAGCAAAGTACTCGTGGTTGAGAGCCTGTGTCGAAGTCGGTCTATTCTTAGGATCCCACATCAAACACCACGTGACAAACTGGCTAAGAGCAGCGGGCCACTGGGGCGCCTGAAGGATGCTTTCCATGGAATGGGGCGCCATCTACGTTTCATTAGTAATCGCCTCGTACCGCGGGTAGCGCAGGGTAATCTTACCTTCGGAAACGTAAATCCCAGCTTCTGGGCAAGACGCGAGCCCTCTCTCCACTCACCTCCTCCGAGCTTATTCCCCGACTTACTGTACCAGTTGCCAGGGCTTCCCATAATCTCACAAACGCGCCAGACCTGGTCGACCTCGTTTCCACCGGGGAACAGTGGCTTCAGGGTAGCAATCTCGACCGCCATAGCCCCGACAGCCCACATGTCCACGGGTGCTGAGTACTCTCCTGCACGCAGGAGAACTTCAGGCGCCCGATACCATCTGGTTGAGACATATGTCGTATATGGGAGCTTGGAATGAGTCTCTCTTGCGAGACCAAAGTCGGCGATCTTCACAGTGTATGTCGGGGGAGTAGAAGGAGGGGTAACGAGGTTAGAGTAACGGCTGAAAGCAGAGTCATTAGGGGCGGATGTCGAGACGAGGATGTTTTCAGGTTTAATGTCGCGATGGAAGAAGTGATGGGCATGGATATGGTCGAGACCACCCAAGATCTGGTAAAGGATGCTCTTGACATGCTTGCCATCGAACGGCTTGTGATCCCGGGCTTTCATTAATTGGTAAAGGTTGCCATCCATATACTCCATGCAGATGTGTAGTTTGCGTGAGAGCGGGTCGAGGAAGATATCGAGGGCTGGGACAAGGTGGGGATGGGGTGGCAGGGATCGCAGGAAGATGACTTCACGGAGTTCGAGGCAGGGAGCCAATGACTCGAAGGTCTTTTTCATCGTCTTGATGGCAACCTAGGAACAGGAATTAGCAACCCAGCGGAAAAGAGTCAAGAGGCCTTGAGATAGCATACCATCGTCCCCCTCCGTGCAACATTGGAGCCAGCAGTCCGCACACGTGCGACTGCCACGCTACCAAAGCTGCCATCACCCACTTCCTTGAGGACCTCGAACCTGTCTTCGAGGCTGGCGACTGAAGTGGGTGCAGCGCCCCGTGATAAGGAGTGGTGGTCGTAGCAGACAGTCATTGTGTCTCTCTCTCTCTCCCTTCTCTTCTCTGCCAGCAGAAAATCCAAGAGAATCTTGTGCGGCGGCGAGGGGCCTAAATTAGGAGGTAAGGAATGTGTAGAGGAAGTACACGGCTCTTCCAGTTGAGTGTCGGGAATGTCGATAGATAGGATCAGGTGCGCATCATTCGCAGTCAGGCAATGTGATATCCACGGGGAGTGTTGTGGTACTTTCCCATGGGTAGGTATGGGTAAGGTGCAGGATGCGATAAGGATTAGGTGCAGAAGAGATTCGGGACGAAATTGGGACCCAGAGAAGAGGGGAAAGGGGTAGTCATGTAGTTCTCAGGGAAGAAGCGAAGGTGGAGGAGTGGGAAGATCTGGAAACCAGATGGAAGACCCAGAGGATTGGACGTGATCACTGTAGTGATAGGAGCGGATCCGGATGGGTGGACACAAGCTAAACGAAAGGATGATCGGAGGCCGCCTTGGACAGAGAGGGGAGGGGGGTTTTGGTGGTGGGAGGGAAGAGGGAAAGAGAGAAAAGGGAATAACTAGACAAGCCCCTGACGCGGTGACAGCTTTAGCCTTTACCAGCTCCAAGACGAAGAGGAGAAGTTGGGTCCGGGCCGTGGGGACTGAAGAGGCGGTCGACGACGAAGCGGGTTTGGTGAAAAAGGCGATGGTGCAGATCCGAAATAAAATAATATAAATTATAAAAATAATAATTATGCTTCCAAAGGATAAAAATGATGCAGGTGGGTTTTTTTATTGAGGGGTTAAAAAGGTTCTGAACCGGAGGGACGGCCAGTGGATGGATGACATGGACCAAAGGGTCGAATTGTTTTTTCCCTTGGGAATTGACGGCAGATGCACGACAGAGAGAATGTGATGATCATGCAGAGCTCTGTTGTTGTCGTTCTCCATTCGAGGTTGGGGGGAAACGACCAAGGGGGAGGGGGGGGAGAGGGGGCAAGTAGGAGGAGTGGCAGAAAAGAAGGCAACAATTGAGGTGTTAATATGAGGGCCGAACGGTGACGCGAGTGGTCCAGCGAGAGAGTAGGCGACGCGAAAGAAAAGCCGGAGAAGCAAGCCTAGAGAGGCAAGATTACCTATTCAAACAGGACCTCAAGTTGAGTCTGAACTACCCAGTCACCAGTCACTTCCTCTAACTACTTTTCTACTAAACCCAAGCTACCAAGCGCCTAGTAATATTAACCCTCTCTGGCCATTCGTTCCAGTCTCCGTATTAGCCCGGCCGCTAAGGTATCCGCGCGAAATCGGACTCCGTAATCGTCCTCTGGAACAAGAGTCATTCATACCGACTGAATTCGTATTATTACTTAGCTACTAATAATAATACCCATGAATAATGTGGTCAACGCCATACCATGCTGCGTTTAGCGGACTTTACCTCCACTTGGGTCACTGAGAGAGGAATGGTCGAGGAACGGAGACCCACCCTTTTCACCCAAGGAATCCGAAAAGGAGGTTCAGGGAGTTTCCCAACTTACCATACACGAGCGGCCCAAGGGGGAAAAGGAACCCTCGAAGGCGGAACCTGGCGGTTCTTGGTTCATGGTACATTGCCGAAAAGGTCAAGACGAAAACATGGAAATGCACAACAACACTATCCCCGCGGCTAGAATGGAGAAATCTTGGGACAACGATGGTTTAGGAACATGCTTGCGGAGTCCATACCGTAAGTAGTGATGAGGAAACACCCAGTTCTGAAGTCTACACCTCTGGGGGGGAAGAGGAGGAGAAAGGAATAGATCCGTCGTTCTATCGAAATACCCCAAGTCAAAGAAGGAAAGAGACGAAAAAAAAGGTGATTACTTTTTTCCTTCCCCTCAGGTAGTTTTCGGCGTTTACGGTTTGTTTGTTTTGGAGAGTCCCCGGTCCACGAAGAATGCCGTAAATTACTGTCTTCCTATTACCGACATTTCTTAACGGAAAGCCCCAGGATTTCCAACGAATGACTTTGAAGGCTTTTGAGCTGCTGTGTGATTGCTGGCTTCCCTTAAGCAATTGAAGTCCTTTGCATAGGGCAGCTTAGTTGCCCACGAAGCGAGTTATCCTATCTTTCAGTATTAGACATAGCATTTTCGATCAGAACAGCAGTAGTGTTTCCAACCATTCGTCTCTGTCTAGATGTATCTTCCGAGGTACTTTGCTTGTGTTGACTAGGTGATGATAGTGATTCATAGTGTCCCGTTCCAACGGAGACTACTCGACAGACCAGTTGTGTCATATCTTTACATTACATCTGAATCGGGACACACCCCCGATCCTGTCGAGAGTTGTCATTCTTAACTATATCGAAATTATGTGGCGCAACTGCTGTCGTTTGAGCTCATGCCGGGGCAAATGAGATTCATCGCGAGTTGAAAGGATCTAACAAAGTTCGGTCTAAGATGAGGTGTAGAAAACAGTTTAGACTGTTCAAACATCCCGTCTTGGAGACATTTGGAGGAGGGCAGAGAGCAGACTTTCAAAGAGATCGAAATGAAAAACGGCCTGGGAGGAGCCTTAGGTACTTCATGCGACCAGTCATCATCACACGTCGCTTTGAAGACTCTGGACTCTGGCGAGGTCCAGCCTTAATCGACTCCACTTGGCCTCCGCCTCTAGTAATCGTTAGACGGGCGCTAGCAAGGTTGGCCAGGGGTTGGGCCGCGTCTCTCTTGCTTCAACCTGGGTTGCAACCTTTCCCAGAGTGATGCGACTTGCTCGGCCATCCCACTCAGGGTCTCGGATAATCATGACACTCTAGACTCTCCAGCAAATGTGACAGGTAGTGCTCCCTACGCCGCAAACTGTGACGGTTGTACGGCACTTCGCCTCGTATAATCCATCATTCAGGGGTCGCATGTGATACCCGCATTACCTCATCTACAGCACCCCAGAGAGTGTGTGGAAGAAAATAATAAAGAGCTGCAACAAAACCCAGATTTGAGTTAAGTTACAGCGCGAGCTATCCTTGCCGATAATATATGAGCGTAAAATAGCTTACCAGCCGAGGAAGCATAACTAATGCCTGTTCTAGGGCGGGTTAGTCAACTAGTAAGTAAGTAGCTCTGAGTTGCTGAGTTCCGAATTAGATAGAGAGAGGTCAGCCGGGGATCCACAGGACAGGAAATAGAAGATATGTACAGGCTGTGAGCAGTTTTACAGTTCATGCACGTTGTTATCTGGATCCATTATTATTGATAGTTCATCTGTTGTCTTGAACAATGGATCCAGCCAACAGTGGCTGGACATGTATCCATTCCCCGTACATCCGTCGGCTGCCTGCCCCCTCCCCCTCTTTATGCTTAGGTGGCTGACCGCCAGCATGGCAACACTTACAGTAACTAAGTTGGATACCCACAGGCTGCAACGACTGATCTTCAAATCGAGCCTGGAAACTGTTTATCCATCTGCCGGTACTACATCGATAGAGATGTGGCTTGCATGTCTGCCCCTCCGGGTATGCTGGTCCGGTCTTTCCTGGGTAATCTACATGTGTAACACTTTTCCGAGGGTTGAAACGGAAAGGATTGCTCGGTCGAAAGTTGATATGTTCATCAACAGCGGGAGATGGCCGAAGGGAAAACGTCGCTGTTTCATCAATACTATTGGTGCTTCAGCTGACAGAGAGGTTGACAGGGCAATGAAGAAAGAAAAGCAAAAAAGGAGAGAAAAATTTTTCGTAGTGTGAGAAAAGTACTGTTACTCGGGGAAAGAAGGAACAGGAGTAAGATGCCGTACTACCATGGTCGACGAAAGGCAGGATGTCTTGTTCCAATCATCCACCAAGGTCTCCGCAACCCGTGCTTGACGTCTACAAGGTTCAAGACAATATTCCTGGTGCTCTGAAGAAAATAACTCGTAGCTCAGCTCCATGGCAATCAACATATATGAGACGCTTCTGAGTACTATGTTTCTAAAGGTTACGCGTTTCCACATTTCTGGAGCTGAGGTTTGTCTCGAAATATCGGGTCAGTATGGATATGTCTTCGGAGTACTATGGACCGCATACTCCGTGCGCTGAATCAAGTAGACGCTTCAACTATCCAAGCCAGTCGAGCCCCCAAAGATTTGCATTGTGCTTAGAACGCTATATTTACTTGGGGGACTACCCCATATGGATAGAGGGCGATGCCCACAGGTGCTTACTTTCCTGATGCATACAGTATGCACAGGTATGGCCGATGCTGGATCCTTCTGGATGTATAGACTTCATACATCAAGAGAAGTTGATCAGCTGTAGCTAAGCCTGTGCATCTGCGAGATCAGATCCAGGACACAGACAATGCCCTGTGGAAAGTACGGGGCACATTAAGTACGCAACATACCCTTTGCTTGTGTAGGACAGTTTGTTACCACAGTTACCATTTTCCATATTTCTTTTTTTCTTCTCTTTTGCGTGCAAAGAGTTGAGTTCGCCACTGGATGCACCAATTCTTGAGACTAGGAAGCCGCATATAGACTCATTTACCAGGCTTTTCCGTTCTACCCTTGCAATGTGGGGTGATCATAGCCGATCTTATGATAAGATGTCATCGCTGGATACTTTGATGACGGGGGGGATCATCAACCCTCACAGAGGGCATTAGTAGGCGGGCTTAATCGCCAAACTCTGAATTGGTATTGCTCCAAACCACTACATACTCAAAGCAGCATAGATGGTGGCTCCATGTGCGTGATCTTTTTCCATACACAGTAGTACTGTTATGCACGGAGTAGGGTGTCCTTGATAGGAAGATTGGATTCCATTCCTGTCACGGTGGCGGGTGATGGGTCATGGACGGAGAAGCCATGTCTTGAAGTTGGTCATGTCTGGAGCCGAGACGCGTATGATCAGCTACACCGCACCTACGACCTATGTTTACTCCGTACACTCGTTAAGATCCGGTTTTGATGACAGGCCATACAGATGCCAAAAAAGGGGTCTAGAGATGGATTGGTCACCGCTTGTGTCACTTGACCGGTGACAGGCTTCAATAAACCACTCGGTGGGAACGGCGAAGAATGGAGACAGTCAGTCACCGTCTTTTTGAGGTCCATCGTAGTATCCTCCCTCCCCTCTTCTTTAGTGTTCTTCACATTTCTTCTTTTCCATTCATGAATTGAATGATGAGAGGAGGGGAAGGGATGCGTGTTCTGGGGGGAAAAGAAGAAAACATCGAGGGGTTTGAGTACACAGTTGATGAGGACTGTGCGATGCTGGTGGGCCAACCAACCAACCACTCGAGAAAATCACGACTCGTAATCTTGTCGGCATGACATCTGCTCCCTCCCCCATTGATGGTCTTTGCTCTTCTTGCCACGGAGTGTCTCTCCTACCGCTACCTAGGCTACGCGTATTATTGTTTATTTACCTCTTCTTTTGTTTTGATGTTTCCTTGGGTGGCATCATGCCATTTGGGCTGTTTATTTACATAATCATGTTTCAACCACAACAATCGCGGCTGTTCTTCCAATAGAGAGAAACCTACGCGACATTAGTACAAAGTGACAACAACAACAACAACAACCACAAAGGCAGAAAAAGTTTGCGTGGGATTTGAGAAGGGGGGAAAAGCCAATGATTGCAATTTCTTGGAAAGTTTCGGGCACCAGCGCAGAAAGGGAAGGGTGGGTGACTGGTACCGGAGTCCTAGACGACTGGCTGATGGGCCTCCACCCCCAAAACGGATAGATCAGAGCTCGGAAGACGTGGTTTTTATGGAACCAACGGGCTTAGTCGACCGCCGGCCGTCTGAGTTACCAGCCAAGGGTAATTGGGAAGACCCAACAGTGGAGCAGCTTCATTCAAATGAGTGGATATTAGCCAGTTCGCATGCGGATGCCGTGGACCTGCTGATTGCGCCGGGGCAGTCGGGGAATGCGGATCCCCACTCGGCGTGAGGCCCGTCCCCGCTACCCGACAGACCCGGCTATGGATCTAGTTCTCTAGTCAGCCAGTAGTCGTTGCGTCCGGCGAGATGGTGAGGATTACGATGGAGTCCCCAAACGGATCCGTAACCAACAAATGGATCTCCTACTTTGTAGGTGTCTCGCGGCCCAGTTGACCTATCTCGCTAGCAGCTCCGCCGCTCCTTAGGGATCTCTTAGCCATGCTACTATGCCAGTAGCTTTCGAAGCCGGCTCATTCCACGAGCGTTCCAGAAGGATGAAGGACGTTCGTGGAATCGACGAAGAAGGAGATCAGGAGACGGAAATCTCGCAATTACCTTCTCTAGGCAGAGAAGCTCATCGTCTCAAGCGGAACCCCCGTCGGCTTGGCCGCTTGAGTCAACCGTTGGAACGGAATAACTATGGGTAATAATATTGAGGGTGGCTCTCTATCGTCGACGGACTACGGAGCGCCATGGAGGATCAACAAAGAATTCCCTGCAGGCAAAGCCGACTAAAGACCTTCTGGAACGCCACTAAGGATTCCACATTATTAATTCTCAATTGCCCCAGTCCGTCACTCTTCGTGGGTGACCAAAAGTACCTTCTACGAGCTTAAGCAGGTACAGGATGTGCTTGCATCAGGAGGTGCGTTCTCCATATGGATACCTCTGCCCAGTTTCTGCTCTTACCTACATGGGTGCCACCTTTCAGTGGGTGCGCTGTGTCTACTCGACTGTGTACAGACCCTCCTGTTGATCAGTCCCATCCAGCAAAGACAATTTCATCGCGACTAGCCAATCGTGATGTGAATCAGACTTGTCTTGACCCTGACGAAAGCATGATTGCTGGATTAGCCGGCTGGACTTGCAGTAGTCTCAGGGTGTCTGCATTCCCGCATGCTAGATCTACCCTTTTTCCTCCTTTTTGCTCCTTTTTTTATATTTCTCCGACGCGGTGTGCGGAAGTCTCTGTAGATCGATGGGGATCCTACTAGGATATCGGAGTACTGTGTAGAAAGTCTGGTCAGGATGTAATCTCGCTTCAGATATGATGCATCTCAGCCAGCCTATGAAAAGGCGGGGTAGGCAAGTATACCAGCGAAAAATGACTGACTTTTCAGTTCACTTCATTTAAATGTTCATAATTCCTTTTCTTCCCCTCATCTTTGAGATTGTCTGTGCAGTCAGTGCATGCTACGTCATTGTGCCCAGCTTCATTTTCACATTAGTTAACATACTTCGTAGTGATTCGTGACTCAATGACACTTTCAGCCAAAGCCAGGTAGTGAGGTAGCCAGGAGAGTAACAATATCTGCCTACCGGGCTGATGAGAAACAAGCCACCAGCGATGCAAACGAGCTCACAAAAGCGCCGAGACATGCGTTTGACACTGTCAGCAAACCGTTTGCAAGACATCTCATCTCTGACCACCGTCTATCTATCTGTATGACACAGTCATGAGAATCAACCTCTGAGGGGCAGATGTGTGTTTCTGACCAGCCCAACTTGGATAAATGACAGTTACAGCGCAAAATGAGAGAAACATGGCGTTTTCCGTACTCAACAATACAATCAGCCTCCCGTGTAGTCCGACCAGGTATTGACTTCCTCTTCGGATGGAACTTGCCACTCAGGCTTCAGGGTGTTGTCTACAAACCTCGACTATTAACTTCTCCTTCACCAAGTGTCTCGCGTCACTAACAGGTGGCTGGCGCCTAGATGCTCTTCGAATACATTCGCAGGCAGTTCCCTCCGTCTGCATTCACCGTCTCACTAACACTGTTCACTGGAGCTTACGTTGCCTGGGCAGGATGCCATAGTGATAGATTCTTCTGAGAGCCTATAAAGTTGCCTGGAACGTGTTTCCTCTGTTTCTCCTTCGTTTCAACTCGCGTCTTCGACATCGTGGTTTGTATCTAGCTGGTCTGAGGCAACTTCATCGTCCTCCTGATTAGTCGTTCCCCCCGGATAGCTCTCACCATGGGCCCATCCAGACGGGCCACTGTGGTCCCAAACGCCTTTGCCGGTGGCTATAGCCAGACAGTCAGAAACCGGTCAGTTTTCTGCTGGATACGCTGCAGATCGGTCTCGCTGACGATACTATAGGCTTGACAAGGTTGTTTTCCCGGATAGGTGTGTCTACTACTTCACTCTTCAACATGTCAATATTACTTTGTTCTACATCTGACATGATCGTAGAATCAAATGCGGAACATGCAAGAAGTTTCGGTACATCGGCACTTTCTCTAACAGACAACTGGACATTCTACGCCATGCGGTAGTGGCTGAGGGAGCTTCGGCTGCTACCAGCGGACGTGCTAGATGCAGACAGTGCACCGGTCCAGGAAATACTGAATTGAAATGCACACAGTGTGACCGCGTCAAATCGATCGAAGAGTTCGCGAAGAACCAGCGGCACGAGCGTGATACTGCGGTATGCTTACTCAATTTAATCGCGGTGGATTTCAGCTGGGCTAATTTCAGGGCAGCGTTGCATGAACTGTGTCCAGAAACATACGGAAACTGAACCCTTGATGGATGAAATTAAGCAGATCACCGGAGGCGATGATACTACTGCTAGCTCTGTTACTGTTGGGAATCCCCATGATCTCTACTACTATATCAATATAGTTTAGTTGCGACGTACTGACAAGCTCGAAGAGTCAGGCAGGTAGTAGCTCTTTGGCTACTTCGTTGAAGCGTCTCCAACTGAGCGGTGCTCATGAGGGATCTGTTTGCAGTGACGATCTGGATGACGATGACGATTTGTCCATTGGTGGTGGTGTCTTTTTGGAGCCTAGACACACCGACGAGAATAGCAGCACCAATAACAAGGGCAAGGAGAAGGTCTTCACCGGCTACGATCCTCAGGGAAACCCGCATGTACTCACCCACCGCGCAGAGGTTACGCAGTCCTACCAGAGCGAATGGTCTGTCTGGGGAGTTAAGAACAAAGCCCTTCGAAGTGAAGCCGGTCCCGCCAGATCAACGCCGAAGAGGGAAAGAAACTTCGCCAAAGTCCCGGTAAGTGCCACCGACTTTGCATATTTACGAAGAACCGATATTGATGACGATTGATTCTACGCAGAGCGCGCGCTATGAAAAGCACGAACTGCCGAGCATGGCCATTCCTGATTCCAGCGGCGCGAACATCCCTTCTGACGATGAGGACGAAGTGAACGATTTGGACGTCTTTCTGTGAGCAAGCTTGGTATACCCGGGCAGAAGCTCAGATGTAGCAGGGATCGTACTGAGTCTGAAGATATCGGGACTAATGAGATGACTGGAAAGCTGTCAAAACCCATATGAATTTCTTCTGTCCCCGATTTCGGGTTACTGTCTTGACTCTTCTATTCGTCTAATCAACCTTGCTTTTTCTGAGATGGTATGACAAATGTACTGTAGCAGCCGGAAACGATGGGCGATCACAGCTAGGGGGGGGCGCGCTATAGTGGCTGTATTCTCAATCATGGTCCCATTGCTGGTACTATAGTTGTCAGGTTCCTTTGTAGTGGCAATCTAAGAATATGGATGGTTCCACCCTCAATCAACCATGGATGAAGTGATCTTGGTTTCTAGGTGGTTCCCGCCCGCCCAGGAACCATAGACTGTCGGGCCCGCTGGTCTATAGTAGTGGTGTCTTTATATAGCGGGTTAGGAAAGCATTGTGAATGACTGTAGAGAGCTTCGCAAAGTTGTCAAATAGCCATCGATGGACATTTCATAAAGCGAACTCTTCGATTGCCATTGGTGAAGGATAATGATGATGGAAACTGAAGGTCATTAAGGGGTGGCAGAGGGAGAAGAAGCGAAGGCAGAGAGAATGATTGCATCTCCAAAATAAGATCCCCGCAGTCCGCCTGCCATGACGTAGGCGGCCATCCAGTCTTTTCTTTCCAGTGTAGACAACTCTGTGAACTTACCTTTTTATTTTTCTCTACTTGTCATCTGCTCTTTTCTTTGTCTTTCGATCTTCTGTTCCTTTCTGCATCAGACACGCGACGACCCACTTCAGCTGTCACTCCTCTGCTTTTCTCTGCCCAGCCCACTTCGCTACACACTCAGTGTATCCCGTTGGTTTCACCATCCGTCGCCCCTCTTCCTGCCCCGTCTTTTTATTTTCTACTGCTTTCCCTCTATCTCCGTGAAGTCCAGTCGACCCGTTGCCACACGATTGTCGCACCTCTGCTTCCATTTGCTTCAATATTTTTGGCCCTTGGCCCTCTTTGTAGCCTTTTTTTCCCCCATCAGCTCGATACCTCATTCATATCAGCTCGATACCTCATTCATAAGACTGCTCTGGTGATTACTCTGCGCTCGTGATTACGCAGGGCAAACACCTCTGACCCGGCGTCGTACGCCCCAGCGATGGCTTACAATAGCTTCCCCAACAGTCCTTCTTACTCGCAGTTTGGAAGCATGAACCATGCCAATCCAAACGAAAATGGCGCATCATCTTACACCCCTCCGTACCCTGCACAATATGGGCCGGAGCAGGTGAACATGCCTCAGCCTCAAGTTCCTCCTACCTCCTCTTCCCCGACGGGTTACTATTCGAAACCGCCTTACGAGCCAGCTCCATGGCAGCAGCAACCGCAGCAACCACCAGCCCCCGGGAGGATCAACGAGGCTGTGAATTCGGCCTTTCGCCAGGCTGACTCTCCGGCCTATCTGTCTCCAGAGGTTGTTTCTCAGATAACTGCGACGGTGATACAACAGCTGAAAGCGACGGGGTTGGACAACTTGCAAAGTGATCAACAGCCGTCACCACCGCCACCGCCGCAATGGTCTCATTCGGCTACAGCCGCCATGTATGGTGAACCGTCTCATTCACCTAGGCCGCAGAATACCCCTCCACCACCGCCTAAGATTCCCCCGGGTAACCCGGACTACCAAGCACCTGTACCGCCTGTACATCCCAGCAGCCCTCATCCATTCCCCAGACCATCCGTGGGGCAGCCGGGTGAAAGACGCGGATCGCCGACAAGCCAAAGCCAGGTCAGCGATCAACACCAGACTATGGAATCCCGACCAAAGCCGCCATCAAGGGAAGCTACGGTGACAGAAATGACAACGTTGGATAAAGTATGGGGCAAGTTCTTCGAGGACGGGAAGCCAACAGAAAAGCTTAGCATGTTATTGCGTGGCATCGCAGTCCACCTGGTAAGTGCAGTCCGCAACCGGTGAGTTCTGGACGCTAACGAGTTCGTCTGGCAGATCGAGAATTACCCGCCAGAGAACACTCTGGTCGTCGTTCCTGAGAAAATGAAACAGTTCTATGCAGATACAAGTGTGCCGTCTGATCCGTACCCCTGGGAAGGTTAGTCCCAATGAACCACTGTGCTGTATGACACGGACCTTGCTGACCTATAACAAGACATCTTCGACGACCGTACATCTCAGATCTCGAGATTGTTGCGAAAGCTTGAAGTGGAACATCATCTCGTGCAACATAAACTTCATGAGAGACCTGACATCCCGGGCCTGACTCCCCGTGGCTTTGCCCGATGGGCAACTTTAATGATCCAGGCCCATCCTGAGAAAGAGTACGAGCGCTTCCAAAAAGCACTGTTGAACATGCCCATCAACAACCCCGACAAGAGGAGCGAAAGACTACCCAAGGAGTTCTCAAGGCGCTTGTTTCCTGATGCGCCAGATCTCTCATTGAGAGAAGAGATCGACCAGAAAATCATGGAATTTTGCAACGTCGACTTGCCGCCCATCACCGAGGACGAGTTGAAAAAGGTTGCCGCACAGCGGCACAAGAAATCTGCACACAAGGCGTCAGTGAGCTCTGTTGACTCGACCCCCTCGATGGGAGAGCGTGAGCGTCAGCCCTACCATAGCACATCATCTTCTGCCATTGTCGATGACGAGGACAAAGAGGTCCCATCGCGGCCTATTGAACGCGAAAGGAAGCCCTACACTGCGCAGCCTGGAGGTGGTAAAGTGTACGAAGAGAGGGCACCCAGCCATCGTCATGCCAACTCGATGTCCGCAGGGTCTGGCTCCAAAGATGGTCCGATCGATATCGGACCCCGAATGTCGGAGACGTACCTCCACACCGGGAGTTCACAGCGTCCCACGACCACGTTCGGACGATCTCGAAGTCCGTCACGGGGTGCTCATCCAGGCGGCGAGTACAGACACTCCGAGAGTGACCTCTTAGGCCATGGTAGTGGCTCACGATATGGAGGGTTGTCTGATAATGACTACTACTACCCCCCATCCACATCTGCCCTCCCAGGAGACATCGACGACACTCGCAAATACCACAATCTCAGCCCTGACCATGGCGATAGGAGACTATACGATGCCCTGCGGACCCGGGACAGCGAGCGAGAAAAGAGCAAGCGCAGCAGCTGGGGCGGCGACGAGGATTACTATCGCGCTGCCACCGGCTACGACTATAAACCGTATGGGTATAGGTGATACTGATATACTGACCGTGTTTGACCCTTGAAAATCATCGTTTTGGCGCGCTTCTTGTATGAAAAGAGATATCCGTCTATGAAGTTATGACTTATGATAGCGTTCATTATTAGTCTGCTTGGCTGCTTTCCTTTCTGCCTTATATTTAGCCACTCATGACCTTATTCCTTTCTGAATGTGTACCACGAACTTTCCTTCATTATCTGAACTTTGACTCCTTGTCCTCCCTTCCTCTTCTTTCAGGAAATGTATAATATCACTAATACCACTTTCGGGATTGAACATTATATACCCCCAGCTCCACCAGAACCTACCCCCTCCACCCTCTTCCCCTCGATAATTCTCCTAACCCCCACCCTCTCCTCTCTCTCTCGCATCTTCCCCATCCTCCTCCGATCCCTCTCCTCCCGTCTCCGTCTCTTCCGTCTAACCCTCTCCTCCTCCTCCTCCTCATCCATGTCCAATTCCCTTCTCAACCTCTCCACCTCCTCCCTCCCCAACCGCCACGGCACATCCAACACCTCCACCAAAAACCGCGACCGCTGATCCAGGAACCGCATCTCGGCGTTCGTGTCCCGGACCGGAAATACCCGCTCGAGTTGGAGCTGGTTCACGCCGCGGAATGTGCTGATGGTGCCCTTGAGGTGCGCGAAGGTGCCTGGTGCGTAGGGGCTTATGTCGAGGGCGAGGGAGGTTGTGGGGGAGATATGCTGGGTGGGAGTAAAGGAAGTAGGTAAAGTAGATGAGGGAGTGGAGTTGGGGGTAGCTTTCTGAACGACCACGTCGAGCGTTACACCGCTGCTATCGTCAAGGGTGAGGATCGTAACGGTGGGGAATTCCGTTCGGGAGGTTATTAGTCCCAGTAGGGAGATGTATTGGATGGGATGGTTTTTGTAGAAGTAGATTTTTGGGTCTATAAGTTTTGCATTCGGAGGTTAGGATGTACGTATGTATGTATGTATGTATGTCTTGGACGATAGAGAAGGAGGATCGGATGTATATGTGGGAGAAACGAAAATAGAATATCATATGTGCTTTGATTTACAATTGCAATGGGAGATGAAAGAGTTGGGGGAGATCTACCTGGAAACTCCGGCCGTCTTTTCAATCTTAGCACATCCACCGCGGCCATCTTCACCCAGGTGAAGTGGGTGGGGGACGCCTTGAAGCAATACGCTGGGTAGAATTCAAGGTCGTCATGGTTTTCTGCTGTCGCCATGGGAGTGGGACCATTTTCATGGTTGGGTGTTGGTCATTTGGGTTTGGTGCATGTGGTTGTAGTGAAATTGGGAGGAAAATGGGGAGCTGATGGTTGTTTGTTGATTGAGTGATGGATGGGGTGTGGTGAGGGGAAGCCGGCAGGTAGCTTTGTTATCGGTCACGTGGTGGATGGGGTCAGGTGGTGATAAGGATGTTCAGGATTTAAGATGTTGTGTGGTGCTGGTTGAATATGATGGGTAGTATTTATTGCTGAGTAGGGATGTGTTTTCCAAATTGAAGGAATGGAATTTGATTGAGTTGATCCGCAGCTGGGAAATGGTAATTGCTGTGGGAAATGTATGGATACCCCCTCATCCCTCCCCTACATCTGGAGATCGGACCATGATACACTACTACTTCTAAACAGCAATACAATAATTACTAATGGATTAATATACTGTCAAGCATTCTAAAACCGTACCGAGTGCTTATAGAAGAAACCTTACATAATTGACTGGGATTATGCTTTTGTGCACTCCGTGAGAGATCGAGACAGATATGGCATTGCTGTTTTCATAGCCCACGGCCATATTACTATTACTATATCGCAGATTGTATGCAGACAGACACAAAGAACTGGTACTCCGTCTGCGCTATCAATGACCTTTTCGCTACCTGCAAGAAGCTGAGAACATTCCCGTAATTCAATCAGATTGAGTATGAATCAATAGTCCTATTTCCCCAAACCAACAGATATCTTACATATTCAAATCAAATTTGATCAACGCCAGATAATCCATGTATACACGCATACATATAGTAGACCAACAAACAAAATCACTCCTCCTTCCTCCCATCCCCAATCACCCAATTATTCAAGTACCCCACCCCAGCATTCAAATACGTCGCAACCCCCAACCAAGCCGCATACGGCGTCATCAACCAGAACGCCACCCGGTCATGCTTCCACCAGATATGCATCAACGTCGCCACATTCCCGCTCAGAAGCAGCAGATCCGCCAACGCCCACGCCGGCTTCCGGAACATGAAGAACAGCGGCATCCAGAGGTGATTCAACGCCAGCTGGGAAATGTATAGGGTCTGAGACTTGACGGCCCAGTCTTGGACAATTGATGATGATGAGGAAGGTGGGTATGCGGTAGCTATGGTTCCTGATACTGTTGCGTGGTGGATTGCGAAGCCCATCATGCCGTAGAGGACGGTCCAGACGACCGGGAAGGCCCAGGTTGGGGGGTAGAGAGGGGGTTTTTTGAGAGAATGGTAGACTTGTTTGGTGCGACCTTTGCCTGGTTTTAGTTAATATTTGAACTCAAAGAGGTGGAATTGAGTGGTAGACATAGGTAGGGGAAGCTCACGGTTGGTATGGTACCCGACTAGAGAACCCGTCGCGATGGGCGTCACGACGGATACTAGGGGGTGGGCGAACATCGCCTGAGGGAGAGCGGCGGACCAGGGCATGTTTGGTTTAATTCTCCAGCCTGTATGAGAGAATAAGGAGGGTTCTGGAGGGTTGAGTGTGGAGTTGCGATGTATTTATTTGATCCTCTGGATCGATCGATCGCGGAAGCTGGAAGTGGTCGACGTCATCCGGATCGGACCAGGGAATGTAGGATCGCGTGGTATAGCCGACTGCCTGCAGTGGGGAGGATTCGGATTGGGGATAAGGACTTCTCCACTAGAATCAGAATTAACCAGGCGATTGATGGTTGATCATGTAAATATATTGATGGTTAGGTTCGTTTCTGCTGGTCAGTCGCTCGGTTTCCCCGCATCTGGTGAGCCACGGCGTGTGGAGAAGCTTATCACATGCATTAGACGATATCATATCTATAGATCATTGAGAGGACGTCTACATTTGATTGAGTGAAGAATAATCTTCTGTGGAGCACTGTTCACATTAGTAGAAAAGGAGTAGTCTATGACTACTATCTCTTCAGGAAGGAGATTGACAAGCACTGTGAGGCCTTGCATGTTGACTCCGCAGCGCTTGGCTCTGAAGCATCAGTGGAGCAGATAACGAACGCGACATTTGTATACCTACATCCTTGGGGGTTTATGTAAGTGTTCTTTAGGAAGACTTGCTGATGCTTTGGTAGTGCATCAAATACAGCAGGTACATCTCAAGAACCATGACTTTGTTGCATGGTATATGTGAATCGACACAGTAAAGCCCCACTGGACCCAATGTAAAGCTTCTTGTGCCTGCATTATCTGGAAAACTGTGCAAGCTCATGTTATCATGGAGACCGGGGCTAACAGTGACACCATACTCTGAATCTTCAGTATTCTTGATTGACTGCAGCTTTCTAGTTGGGAACATTCCAGGAACTTGCTGGAAGATGCGCAGCTGGGTAGAAATCGTATCAGACGAATGCAGAAAAATAGCAAACCAATAAACATTGCTATGGTAAAGCCCTTGACTGCATCTATACAGGGCAGAAATACATGAGAAGAGAATCAAAGGCTAATATACAATGCACAACGGTAACGATCTGAACGTAATGCTTTTTCCAGCAAGTCTCCCCGAGCGACGCTCTCACCAAATCCCCAACCACTTCTTAACAGGCCTCTTGTTACCCTCCCAATCAACATACACGTTCTTATCATCCTCACCCTGCTGCTCCTTAGCCACAGGAGACTGGTCATCCACAGCCACCTCCTTTCCATCAGCACCAGCAAGATCCTTCTCATTAGGCTCCTCCAACCCATGAGCAACCCGATACTGCCGTCTCTTCTCAGCATCATCCACCCGTCTGCGACGCTTCTCTCTCGTCTCGATCGAATTGTGCTGCACATGCATCCGGAACACCGAAATAGCCTGCCGAACCGTATCAATCGGATGTGACAGCAGCGCCGACCAAGGCGGCAGCAGATGAGCGAAAGGCGACGAGTGCTTGAAGTTCGTAGTGAATGTGAAAGTAGCCAGGGAGGTCAGTACACCCTACACATATCACATATATCGTTAGCAAACCCAACTCAATCATATATTATCTTGCAATCGAACACAAAGCAAGGAAGGAGGGATATCTCACCATCGCAATCCAAATATGAATCCACCGATTCGTCAAGAACTTGTGCATGACTGTTCCCTCAGGCGGGAACATATTCGGGTACTGCCTGTGCTTCTGCTCCTCCTTCTCCTTCTCGCTGAGCTTCGGCCCCGGGTAGTTGATCGGGCCGCTGTTGACAACCTTCCCATTGCGAGTTTGGACGACCCGGCGCGCAGGGTGAGACGGAGGTCGGAACTTGTCGGGCTTGGAGAGCACGCGGGGTTTGCTATCATCGGGCGTAGAGGAGGCGCATCGCTGGGTGGTGCTGCTGGTGATGCGGTAGGTGGTTCGTCGGTTCAAGGCGCGGAGGCTGAGCGGGGAGGGAGCGCCCCGGGGGAGGAGAAATTGGGGGATTGTGACAGGCGGCATTGTGTATATAAGTCAAAGTAGGTGGAAGTTGACTAGTGAGGTGCACCACAGATGAAAGCTGAATTGGCCGCTGGGAGTGCCTGGCCTGTTTGGTGTTGCGGCGCGGGTATTTTTTTCCTGGTGCCGCGGAGGATATAGAGATCACGTGATTACAATACGGCTGAATCTACGCTGTGCTACATTGACGGCAGGGCAAAGGTTCCTTTACTGTGGAGCTTGTCAGTAAGGTATAGTATAGAGCTGTCAAGTACGTGGTTTAGAATGATTCAATCTATATGTGTGCAGGTGCGTGCAATAAGCCAAGTAAACATGGGTTCCTGTCGGTACCTGTTGAGGCTATTTTTCCATTTGCCTCAGGCCACCTCGGGATGTCCCCGGCGGAGCGGAACAACACGAATTCCCATGACAAGTCGGCCAAACTCGGAGGACAAATGATGGCGCGCGAATTTCCAACGCGAATGCTTTGCGGGACCAGAAACAGTCAATTGCGGTGGCCCAACTCCGTATCTTCTCCGGGTCTTCTCCGTAGCTACCGGCCTATTTTTGTGTGTGTTACGTAGGGAACTGGGCCACCATGACGGAGGCACAAATATGGCAACTATGAAAAGAGGATGAGATCATTCGGAAGCGCTACGTCAGTCGCGGACGGAAAAGCCGCTATATGCTCGGAAGGAATCAGCGAGTATCATCTCCTATAGTAAAGTAGTGTAGGGACTCGAAAGAACATTGACTCTCAAGCCTGGCATGCACAAGGGGTTCAATTGACCAGAACTTGGTCAGATCGATCTGGGTAATGGGGACAATTCTTGGAAAACATGGAGCATGGCTCAAAAAAGACACCGGCATCTTGTCCCGGAAGCGCCCGTTGTGCTGAATCATCTCGCTCCTGATTGGCCGCAACCCGGATCACGGGAGGCGTTGGGGGCAAAGGCTGGCCGCTCTTGTACAAATTGATCGCAAGTTTTTCTTCCCTCGTCCGATTTCTCTCCTCCATCGCTTCTATCTTCCCCAGGAAATCCTCCACAGGTCCAATTCGTCTGTATATTACTCTTATACCTTTTAATACCTCTTAAATCCCTTCACACACATTCAAAATGGGCAAGGACGCTTCTTTCGCTCCCGGTAAGCTAACGCAGTATTCCTTGTTTTGGCCGCTCCTTGTCTCCGGAGGCTTTTCATTCACTGGCCTTTCGAACACTGCATTCATTCAATGCCGTGTTGGTTTCCCGCTTTATGATGGCTGGTTACTGGCGCTCGAAACTTCTGCCTGCTATGACTTGATTCATCGCATTTGCTGTCGCGTTTGCTCTACCTTTTCGCAAACCGCACGCTTTTACTTGTCAAACAACGCTACGTCGGAAGGCAATAGTCGATATCACAATAACAGCATAAGTCGAGCGTCACAGCTGTCATCATGAGCTGGGACGCATCTGTTTTACCTTGCGTGATCCAATGGCGCGAGGAAATTGCAGAAAGGGAAAAGAGAGAGGCCGAGGCGGCAGACAAAGCCAAACAACAGCTTGCTAACTTCGATCTCGATTCAGGTGACTCCGCCAAGGGTGCTAAGCTCTTCCAGGTGAGTTGTGATCGCTCTGCGTCGCAAGGCGGCACTGCTTGAACAGAACAGTATTGACTAACATCGCGTTCAGACTCGTTGCGCTCAGTGCCACACTGTCGAGGCTGGTGGTCCCCACAAGGTCGGCCCCAACTTGAACGGTCTCTTCGGCCGTAAGACCGGTCAGGCCGAGGGCTACGCCTACACCGACGCCAACAAGCAGGCTGGTGTCACCTGGGATGAGAACTCTCTGGTAGGCTCCGACTCACCACTTCGCGAAACGTAATGAAGATTTTCGGCTAATTATCTGTCTGCAGTTCTCCTACCTCGAGAACCCCAAGAAGTTCATCCCCGGTACCAAGATGGCCTTCGGTGGTCTCAAGAAGGGCAAGGAGAGGAACGACCTCATCACGTATGTGCTACCCCGGATGATCAGAAATGACGAAATGCAGAGCGCTGACAATTGTACCTTCTATAGTTACCTCAAGGAGAGCACCGCTTAAATTACCTCACCGTCATGAACTATTCTAGAACCCGCCTGCCGAACATTGCTCACTTATCCGTGCTGGAAACAGGCGGTGAGTCGGCAACCCGACAGTCAGGGACTGTAACATTACCACGCCCTTATTTACCCGCGATAGACCTTTGGCGTTGCTGCGTTGGAACGATACAGATACAATAGAGTCCTGTCTCCTTCCGCGACCGCTGTCTACATATTCCCTTCTTGTTCCCTTTTTTACCCTCCATTTCCTATGTGTCCTCTACGAATGTGTTCCTTCCAGCTCTTGTGTGTATCATGGTTTTAAAACAATTTGGTTGCTTGAGACCATAATGAATTGAAGAGATCTCCTCTCACATGACAAACTAGACAATGTGTGTGCATTGCTTTTTACACAGGACTGCTTCTTGATTACTTAGTTCTGTTTTCCCTTTTCTGCCTGACGGACCGATGGCCGTGCGCTGGGCCGGTCCCGAGTTTCAGAAGTATCACGTGCAGCCCGTGCTGGCCGGGGATTCGCCCTGCGCGACTCTCGACCACGTATGCGCTGCAGAAGGGGGACCCCTCGGGGGAGTAAATAGATACAGTGTCTGGCTTCGAGTCAGGGAGGAAGTAACGGTGGCCACTGCACCGGCAATCTGGCGGATGATCCTTGCAGGGCCGTGGAGGGCAGCGCAGCATGATCATTGGGCCTGGCTGTTGGGCCAGTTGTCAGCCAGCCATTGATAGGTAGGTTCATGGTCCCGAGAAGGTACCGTTCCTCTAGTAGTAGTAAATGGCTTGGGAGCCAACCAACCAGACTGCCGGTCGATCGGAGGGTAAATTAAGAGAGCCCAAGCACCAACAGATAGGTACATACTACCGTCCTGAAGGAGGGGGAGAGAGGGGAAGAGAAGAAACCAGTCTCCCATGGGGGGGAACTGACTGACTTCTATCGGAGATGATTGCGAACTACGGAAGCGACCGGTTTGTTGGAGGCGTTGATAGGTAGGATTGAGGAACCTTTTCGTAGGGTGGTCATGTGGCCATGACTTAGGATGGATGATGGATGGATGCGAGTCACGTCGATATCGTGGTTGTCGAATGGTAGGTTATCTTGGTGGGCTTATAGTTTATCTAGCTTTATAGCGGGGGGAGATGAAATGCAGACAACTATCGATAGAAGGTGCAGTAAACTGCAGTAAATGCAGCATATCTATCTGCTACGCGAGAGTCGTGAGGAAAATGTTCCGAATAGGAGATGTCTCAGTAACTTGTGGAGTAGTGACCGGGGGGTTAAATCGATCCGATGAGAGGCGATGCGATGCGATCCAACGAAGTACGTAGATAGTCACTCAATCAGGGTTGCTGGTTATCGTTTGGATGGATCGGTCTGTCGGTCAAATCCTAGTCTGGCTTGATGAAACGCAGTCGTTGTGGAGTTCAGTTTGAACCCTTCAAAAAAGTACAGGGTGAAGTGTAGTCTAGTCCAGTCAGTAGTAGAGTAATTCTGCGCAAATGAATCCTAAGCATCGGTGGTTTCTGGAGGGGAGCCGATGGGCCCGATAGATAGATACCACCAGGAGGCTTTTTTCTTTTTCCCCTCCATCAGATGGAATGTTCCTATTTTTCCACAGGAACGAGATCCATGAACCAAGGTACGTTCCCTTCTTTTTACGAGAACAATTCTTTTGAAAAACATAAATCA